GGACAGTGTGAACAACGCGTGTGTGCTGACGAGAATGGAGGAACAGTCTTGGCACGAGTCGGGTTGACCATTATAACATCCAGGTGATTGCTGAAGCACTCAAAGTGAACAAGACGCTGACTGAGCTACGGTAAGGCATCTCACTTTGACTGATGCTGGTGAGTGGGTGATTCAGCAAAGTGCTCACTGATAGAGGGGGATGATCAGTCTGCGTGAGAAGCAGATCGGCGAGGCTGGAGCGCATGCGATTGCTGAGGCGCTCAAAGTCAACAAGACGCTGACTGTGCTCGAGTAAGGCATCTCGCTTTGATTGATGCTTGTGAGTGGGTGATTCAGTAGAGTGCTCACTGATGGAGGGGGATGATCAGTCTTGGCAATAGACAGATTGGCGTTGCTGCAGTGAAGGCGCTTGCTGAAGCCCTCAATGTGAGCACGACGCTGACTACGCTCGAGTAAGGCATCTCACTTTGACCGGGTTTCAGTAGGGGCATTTAAAGTTGCTCACTGGTGGAGGGGACGGACAGCCTGGGTCACACGGAGATTGACCATGTCGACATCCAGGCGATTGCTGGGGCACTCAAAGTGAACACGACGCTGACTTGGCTCAAGTAAGTCATCTCGCTTTTGCTGATGCTTGTGAGTGGATGATGCGACATAAGGCGTTACGAACAGCTCACTGGCGGAAGGGGGAACAGTCTGGGTGAGAATCGGATTGGCGATGTTGGAGCGGAAGCGATTGCTGAGGCACTCAAGGTGAACAAGACAGTGACCAAGCTCGAGTACGTCAATTCACGTCGACTGATGCTTGAGTGGGTGATTTCAGAAATGGCAATTCAGGCTGCTCACTGGTGGATGAGATGGGCAGTCTTCAACAGAATCAGATTGAAGATGAAGGAGCGCAAGCGATCGCAGAAGCGCTCAAGGTGAACACGACGCTGACTGAACTCAAGTAAGGCACCTCACTTTGAGTGGATGGCTCAGCAGAGGGCATTCAGAGTGCTCACTGATGAAGGGGGATCTGGACAGTTTGAGCCAAGATGAGATTGGCGGTGTTGGAGGGCAGGCAATTGCTGATGCACTCAAAGTCAACAAGACATTGACCAAGCTCGAGTACGTCAATTCACGTCGACTGATGTGTGTGGGTCGCTTATTTCAGCAGAGGACATTATGATTGCTCACTGAAAGCGAGGATGGACAGTTTGTTTGAGAATCCAATTGGCGATGCTGGAGCGCAGGCGATTGGTGAGGCGCTCAAGGTGAACACGACGCTGCCTTCCCTCCAGTGAGGCATTTCTCTTTGACTGATGCATGGGAGCGGGTGATTTCAGCAGAGGACTTTAAGAGTACTCACTCATGAGAGGGATGACAGTTTGTACAACAATCAGATTGGCGATGATGGAGCGAAGGGGATTGCTGAGGGGCTCAAGGTGAACAAGACGCTGACATTCCTTTAGTAAATATTGAGTGTTTCAAGATGCCGTGAAGGTCGTTGGACTCACGCTGACGATGTGACCAACGACAACAGCTTAAAAGATAACTTCCTGACCAACGCTGGACGCAGAGCACTTCGGCGATCGGGCAACACCACTTGTAGATTAGAGTAAGACTCTGCATGAAAGTTGAATTCTTTTATACAGCAACATCCGAGCAACAGACTGTTCACCTACTTTGGCGAATTTGGGATTTCCTTGATGCCAGAGGTCTTGCCGACCAGCGTGATCCACCGCCTGCCCCATTGGTGCAGATTGCAGCAAACGCTCAGTCTCAGCCTGCTGTCAACCTTACATCCGAGCTTCAGCAATTGCGGTCCGATCTCGCTGCCAAAGATCAGGCGCTTGCTGCCAAGGATCAGGAGCTGCAACAGCTTCGCTCTGATCTGAAATCGGCTCTTGATCAGATCGACGTACTCGAGCGCGGCCAACCCGCTGTTGGGTCTTTGTCGCACTTTGACGGCCCCATCCCGCGAGTTTCCCTCGCCACTCTTGCCAACGTCACGAAAAATTTCGCTGCAGATGCCATGCTCGGCGAAGGAGCATTTGGTCGTGTGTACGGCGCCAGTCTGCCTGGCCCTCGCGTTGCCATCAAAAAGCTGTCTGCCGAATCAAAGCAAGGCAGAGCCGAGTTCAAGTCGGAACTGGCCTCGTTGTCAAAGTTCCGCCACACAAACATCATTGCCATTCTGTCCTATGCCGAAGAAGGCGACGAGCGATGCCTTGTTTACGAGTACATGGCGAACGGTTCGGTTCGCGATCGCCTGAACTGCAAGAACAACACGTTGCCGTTAACCTGGTCCCAGCGCCAGCGCATTGCCGCCGATGTCTCGCGCGGCATGCACTATGTCCAGACAGCATTCCCTGATCATGCCCTGTTCCACCTCGACCTCAAGACGGACAATGTCTTGTTGGACGCGCATTTCAACGCAAAAGTGTCTGATTTTGGCCTTGTCCGTGCTGCTGAGCATCTCGATGACAAGAGCTACCTTCGCACGCAGACTGTTCAAGGCACCGTTGCCTACATGTGTCCCGAGTTCCTCGTTGAGGGCAGAATGACCACGAAGACGGACGTGTTCGCATATGGCATGATTCTGCTCGAGCTGTTGACCGCCGCCAAGCCTGGGCCCAGATTGAAAAACGAGGCGCGAAAGGCTGTGAAAAACCAAAAGTTGAACGAGGTGCTGGACTCGCGCCTCGATCCAACCGAATCAGAGCGCCAGAGCGTCAGCGAGCTCGTCTCTCTTGCGCTCGAATGTCTTGACGAGGAATCCGACGATCGCCCATCCTTTGGCGCCATTGTTGTCACGTTGGATCTTTGATATTGCAGTAGCCTATTGCATGAGAATTCGATGTTTACCCCCTCATTCTTTGCCATGTTCTCTCCACTTCTTTCCGCAGACGTTTTGTCTGCTCGTTCGTTTTGATGTTTCGGCACTAGGTCGAAACAGCTGTTTTTTTTTTGTTAGTTCGTGATTCGTGCTCGCCATGCAGTCGATCTTTCTTTGTGCTTGTCGGTTGTCATAATTTGTGTTGCCTCCTCAAAAAACTTTAGTGTGTATTCTGCTTTCAAACATCATGCTACGGGAGATCTAGAAAAGTGGAGGAGCTCAACACCCAGCGATGCAGATTTAAGCTGCGTTCAAGCGTCAGCAGGGCAAACCTGGACTCGGTGAGCGAGCCCGGGTTGAACACAATCGTCTTGCCAATCGTTACGCGGCCGGGAGAGTTGTGTGTATGGCCGTGGATGTGCAGCGGGATATTCTACAGAAATTAAGAGAGAGCGAGCGACCAAAATGAGCGGCAGAGTCAGCTGATGAATGAATCGGAGCACCCGATGCACCGCACGAGCTACTTTACCAATGGGCTATTGCGGAGCACGGCAGTCAATGATTTGCTACCTGTGTGCACGGGAGCAAGCGGGTCTGAACGATCCAACGTCGTGTCTGCAAAGACGGATCCGAACAACCACAAAATGGACAAAATGCGTCAATGGACTGAGCAGAGACGTGTCAAAATTCAAATGAAACACGTTACCGATGCCATCGGGACCAAAATGAGTCATCAGAATCACAGAGTCGGAGTGCTGGATGCCAGAGTCATCGTTTCCCAGCGTCAAGAGTCGTTGCAAAGGTTCTCGAACGACGTCATCGGTGGCATGCGGGTAGCCTTTGAGTGGCAAGAATGACGAGGAGAAGAAATGAGGCGAAATAATCGAGGGCACGCACTTTTCATACGAGACACGAGATGCGTGGTAAACGTACCCGACCAAAGAACTTGCCCGTTCTGGAAGGAAGGCACACTGCCGCCATAGCCCGCAAAGACGAGGTCGCGAGAGATTCGAACAACGCGACGATGAATGTTTGTCGAGAACGACGTGAGTTTGGGCAGCGGATTTCGTTCAAAGGTGGTCCTCGGGTCGTGCTGGCAGAATGGAGAGTTCAAGCAGACGATGAGAGACGGAAGCTCTGATAGCAGTGCACTGCAAAGCAAGCGCTGGCCTACTCATACATTGCCGGGGATGTAGTACACGGATGTGCAAATGTTCTCGAGCGCTCCAATCACCGTGGACATGTCGCCTTCGAAGGCTGTCTCGCGCTCAGGCACGTCATAGTCTCCGTCATGCATGTTTGCGATATCTCCTGCGAGCAAGATCACATCGACGCTGATGGCAGATCGACGAGAAGAGGGTTAGCGTCGAAATATTCAGAGTGGTGAAGCAAAGCACCAGGGGAGCCTTTTTGAAGATAAAGGTCTCTATAAATAAACCAAGTGCTCATGGATTTGCATGTGGCCCGTTTCTGGCAACCGTCACTGAGGACTTTGGTGAAGGATGGCCACAGAATTGGTTTCAAACGTTGGAGCGAGTCCTTCAAATGCGCACTGGTGCCTGATCGACCTCGACCCCGCCCAAAGGGACGCTCGCTGGGGTTTGACAACTGCAGCCTACAAGAAGACTCGCTTACAGTTCGTTGTGCTCGTGGAGCCAGTCGTTGAGCTGGGTGACTCGGTCGACGTTGGTGTGAATGTCGGAGACGAGCACTGTGCACAAAAACGCAAACACCGAGCACAGTGGCGTCGCACGACTTAGTTATCAGTGAAACACTGCATCATGTACGAGACATGTGCCAGAGTCGAACAGAACAGAGGGAGGCGGGGGAAAGACAGGGAGAGATGCAGAGACGACTCACAGACTCGAAGGCGACCAGCGTCCGCGCGACTGGCAAGTTGACTCGATGCCATGATTAGACTACGGTCGAAAGAGGAATAATAGTAAAGAATAAGAAGTGAGCTTGAAAATCGGATTGGGGTGATTTCAATGGCTCGAAATCGTCAATTCAACAGGAATCGGATTAAACGCATCGTCAGAACCAGGTCGCCTTTGAGAAGGATTCAATTCTATTCATCATTGTTGAATTTTGATGCATTCAAGAGGGAGAGCGAGGGAGAGCGAGGACACGGCTGAATTCACATTGGATGTTCTGACATTCAATCCATCGACACCAGCGCAACAACGCGCGTCGTGACCGTGACAAACATCAGTTCTAACCATCGACGACATTGTGTATTATTCTTCCGTCAACAACAGCTGATCCCCAGCAACAACAACAGCTGATCCTAACTTGTTTGTTTTTGTTTTTGTGTTTTGTTTTTGTTTTTGTGGTTTTGATTCAGCGTGTGCGGTCATCCCGTCGTCCTGGATCTTGCGTTTTCCACAGCCAACATCGCATCGCTTGGCTCGTTTCACACGCATCGGAGCGAAATGCACTGCCGGGGGTGAACAGCGAGTTAGGATGTGCAGATCTGGGTTTGCGTCAAATTTGGAACAGAGGGCTGAATCATCGCTCGATCTCCTCACCCCGCGGTCTCTGGCCCAGCATCTGCACATTCTCCAGCAGCACAATGCATCACGATCCCAGCAGTGTTGAGATGGCATGCGCCACGCGTGTCTGCATCTGCATTTTGCGCTCGAATCCAAATCGTCGTCATCGTCACCCATCATCCAAAATAGACCGACGTTTTTGTATTTTATTTTTTTCATTGATTTTTTTTGTTACTCTTTTGTACGATTGAAAAAAAAAAAAAAAAAGACCAAAAGGTCAGTCTTTGTTTTATTTTTATTGTTATTATTGTAACGTTTTTCCATTGAAAAGAAAGAGAAAGAAAAAACAAAAACTTGATCTTTTTGTCGTTTCTGTTGCTCACTTTGCTTCCCCTTCTTGATCTCTCGCTCTTCCCTTCCCAATCTCAGCTCGTCGTTGTTCCTTGTTGATACAATAACACACACACACAATGTCCAAGTCTAACTTTGTCAAGGAGTACAAGCTCGTCGTTGTCGGCGGCGGTGGTGTCGGCAAGTCTGCCCTGACCATCCAGTTCATCCAGTCGCACTTCGTCGACGAATACGATCCCACCATCGAGGACTCGTACAGGAAGCAATGCGTCATTGACGACGAGGTCGCCCTCCTCGACATTCTCGATACTGCAGGTAAAAAGACTTTTATTTTTTTATTATTATTTTTTATTATTTTTTTATTTGAAATGTTGTTGTGGGTAGCTTTTTTTTTTTTTTTTTTTTTGTTATGATTTTTTTTTTTGTGATGCGCTTGTTTTCTTTTGCTGTTGGGGGTTTTGTTTTGTGTTTCCGTCGCTTTGCTGCTGCGATGAGCCCTCCGCTTTGGCAACCGCGCTGCTCCTCCCCCACCCTTTCAGCACCTGGAGTGGCTGCGGGTCGCCGTCGGCTGCCCCTCCACGTTTTTTTTTTTATTTCCCTTGCGGGCTCAGCCGCGCGACTTTTTTTTTTTTTTTTTTTGAAAAAACCCTGCTGTGTCTTGTCTCTTTTCACGACCGCGGGCTGCTGCGCTGCGGCTGTCTTGCTGTCCTTGCACGCTGCCTGGGCTGCTCTTGCTATTGAGAGCAAGATGCGGGTCGTCTCTTTCACCGCATCCATCAATGCCTTTGATTTTTTATCACTATTTTTTTTGATTGTTTTTTCAACCGCCGAGCCCGTTTGCGGCTCACACTGGCGACTCGAGCAACGGCCGTTTGCGGGCAAGCCTGCATCTCGTGCTGCTCTTCTCGACACTACACCCGCCGCTGTTGCAGAAGCAGTGAGCGCGCCGCTGTTCGGTGCCATCGAGCGTTCGCGACGTTCAGTGACTTTTTTTTTTTTTTTTTTTTTTTCGATTTTGCTTTTTTTCTTTGCTGTGGTGAGAGCCTCGCGTTCCTCTGTTGCGCCTGCGGTGGTTGTAGCAAGCGTGGCGGTGACTGGAAGTGGTGCTCCCGTGGTGTTGGTCGCCATCTCTTTGCTCTTCTTCGCTTCAGCTTCAGTGATCCTGCTCTTTGAAGTGCGACATTCAACCAAAAAAAAAAAAAAAAAAAAAAGAAAAGAAAAAAAAAAGGCAAGTTATTTTCGGCTGGTTCAGATTTCCTTTTCCGATTTTTTGTTATTTTTGCGATTTTATTTTTTCATATTTTTTTTTTTTCGTTCGGCGTCAATCGCGTTGAAAAATGAACAAGTTTCTTTTTTTCTTCTTTTTCCCCCTGTGTTGTTGAAACTCAAATCTTCCCCTCCCTTGCACAACAATCACAACAACAGGCCAGGAGGAATACTCTGCGATGCGCGAACAGTACATGCGAACTGGCGAGGGCTTCCTCTGCGTCTACTCGATCACCAGCCGCCAAAGCTTTGAGGAAATCCAATCCTTCCACCAGCAGATTCTCCGTGTCAAGGACCGCGACGAATTCCCCATGATCCTTGTTGGCAACAAGAGCGATTTGGAGCACCAGCGCGCCGTCTCGAGCGACGAGGGCAAGCACCTTGCCAAGACGCTCAAGGTTGAGTTCAGCGAGACCTCGGCCAAGCAGCGCCTGAACGTTGACCACGCTTTCCACCAGCTCGTCCGAATCATTCGCCGATATAACAAGGACAACCTTCCCAAGAACCCCGAGAAGAAGAAGAAGCTCAAGTGCTTGATGATGTAAAGGAAAATCAAGAATTTTTGGGTTTTCCGTTTATGTTTTTTTCTTTCTTCTTTTTTGGTTGTTGGGCCGTTTCCCCCTTCCCTCCTCCTCCGTCCTTGCATCGGTTTTCACCCTTGTCATCCTCCCACCTCCGCTTTGTTCGAGTCTTGAGCGCACCCCATCGTTGCTCGAAACTGCAGACAAAACAAAAACTTTTTTTTTTTTTTTGGGACGCGCTTTCTCTGCTGCTGCCCCTTCCCTCTTCTCCCCCTCTCCACTCCTCCCTCGTTGTTGTTGTTATATGAATGCTGTTGTATATGAGTCGCTTTTGTGTGTTGTGGTTATATTTCCCCTGGTAAAAAACGATCAAACACTAAAATTTTGTCTTTGAACATTTCGAGTTATCCTGATCGACAGTGAGGTCAGACTCTGAATCGTCCCTACAAACGTGTGATTACACCAATACTGCATGTCTTGTCATATCAAGTTAAACCAACGCGAGCATGCACGATTTTGTGAACACAAAGAAAAATGGTTTCAAACCAAAAACACAAATCTACACCAGAGTCATCGACTTCAATGAGACAAAGCGACGAATACACACTCCGAATACAGATACTATACACATTCAATCCACAGCGAAAGCCCTCGCTCCTAAATAAGAAAAAAAATGGAACAAACAAAAATTTGGCTGTTCGAAACAGTTTGAACTTTTGATTTTTTGGCGGCATTTTTTTTTTGTTCCAACGCTGCGTTCGTACTCATCCTGATCCCCATCAATTGGGATGCGAGGTGCCATTCGAATGTCCATGCACAGTCCTATTATTTTTTGTATTCCCACCTTTTCTTCTTCCCAACCAATCTGAGCAGATCACATTGTTCCAAAAAGCAAGTTGTTGATGCGATGGGAGCTTCGGTTTCTCTCTATTCCCCTCCCCCTCTTCGGCGTGCTGCCTCTCGCTGAACGCCCGCACAACTGCACACCCACTAAAAGCGCTACCGTATCGGGCCATTGCGATGCGTGAGATCGCGCCCTGCATGGTCGCTCGCGGCGCTTCGGCGTTCAATCCTCAGCTTTGGCCTTTTTTCGTCGTTTTTTTTTTAATTCTTTTTCGTATTTTTATTATTTGTTTTTGTTTTTGCGCTGGGCTGGTTGATGACCGGCTGCCCTCGCCCGTGCGCCTCTCCTGACAATCGACGTATCGTGCCACAGCGCGGAGTCGCAGCGGGGCGGGGCTGGGGTGGTCTGCAGCGGGAGTACGGCGCTCGAGCTGAGCGCGCGGTGTCCTTCTTTATATGTCTGGTTTGTGTTTGCCGCCAAAAACAACAGCCAGGCTGCTCCCGTGCCGCTGCTGTGCGGTCGCCTGCTGCACCCGCGGGCGTCTGTGCGCGCTGTGATTGCAATGCTCGGTCTGCAGTGCGTCGCTCGAGCGGCCTGTCGGGTTGGATGGGCTGTTCCCGATGACGAGAAAAAAAAAAGGAAAAAAAAAAAAACGAAAAAAAAAACCAGCGCAAAGCCAAAGCCAAAGCATCGGAAAAAAAAAAAAAAAAACCAAACGAAAAAAAAAAAAAAAAAAAAAGGCGGGAAAACACGGAAACGGCTTTGAATTGCAATTCCGACGCGGCGCACGTCGCACGATCAGCGAGACCAATGCAAAGACGGCTGTGAGATCCACTGCAGCTGCGCTGGGTGGCGATGGCTGGATTGTGCTCGACTTGGCAAAACCCGCCAGAAAGCGCGAACAGTTCATTTTTTTTTTTTTTTTTTTGTAGTTTAGTATTGAAGTCGCGACAAAGCCAAACCAATTCCCCCACACTCGTTGTCGCGTTGCCAGCGTGATCGATCGCGGGGGAGCAGCGTTGGATTGGAACGAAACGCATGCAGCAAAAAGAGGCGCACCCGCCATGTTCGCAGCGAGCTGGGCGAGCGAACTGACTCACGGGTTCGGCGATGATGATGACCGCCAAACTGTTTCGGCGCATCGCAAACCACCCTTCTTCCTGCATCTCTTCCACCCGAACGCGACAGACAATCCACGCAATGGGCTGTGGCTGTGGTGGCTGCACGCATCGAGAAGCCTCGAATTTTCGCACGTCCTCGTTCGTCGTTTACAAAACCAAGAAAAAAACCAGAAAAAAAAAACCGCGAACGCCTGCTGAGACGTGCAGCGAGCCCTTCCATTCTCGCCGACCGCAGGCAGCGAACACCTCTGCAACATTCATTATTTCGCCCGAAACTCGTGCGCTCCCAGGACATGTCCTCTCTCTGCGTGAACTCAACCGACAACCTTCTCTTTTTCTTTTTAGTTCGTCCACAACACGCACCAACAAATAATTTCGCATTCAAAAAACCCAGTCTGCTGACCGACCCGCCCACCGTCTTTCCGTCACTGTTGTCAACCTTTCTTGGATGTGTACTAACGACCATACTCTTTTTCATTTCCCCCCCAAATGAACAGAACACTGAACGTTTGCTCGTAGTTCCCTTTCGTTCCGTTCCGTTCCGTTCGCGTCTCCCCCCTTCTTTTCCGTCATGAATACCCGTTCGCACGGATCCTCGCGTGCTACTGGGGGCGGAGCAGCGGCATCCGCGGTCTCGACCTCTGGATCAAGCGCATCGTCGGCTTGGCCAGCGTCGACCAGTAGTCGACAGTTGACGCTGGGCGGCTCGTCGACCTTCCTAGCGCCTTCTATCTATTCGTCGGCGCAGTATCCGTCCGGCGGCCTGTCCAGCTCGTACACCCAAGGCTCTGCCACGAACGGCGGCTCGTTTTCAAACGCAGGGTTTGGCGGGTCGTACGGATCGTCCTCGCTGAGCGCATCATCGTCCGGCACGAACAGTCGCGCTTCCGCAAACGCCGCTGCTTCCGCAGCAGCAGCAGCAGCAGCGGCAGCAGCAGCGGCGGCGGCAGCAGCAAGTGGCGCCAACGCCAGCTCTGGCAAAAAAACCTGCAATTGCAAAAACTCGCGCTGCCTCAAGCTCTACTGCGAGTGCTTTGCCAGTGGCCAGTACTGCGACCCTTCCTGCAAGTGCGTCTCTTGCAGCAACAACGAAAGCAATCAGGAGGCTCGGCAGCAGGCAGTGGATGCTACGCTCGAGCGCAACCCTGCCGCCTTCCGGCCAAAAATCAACTCGGCCGCCACAGAGTCTTGGGCACGGCACTCCAAAGGGTGCCACTGCCGCAAATCCAACTGCCAGAAGCGGTACTGCGAATGCTACCAGGCTGGCATTCAATGCACAGCGCACTGCAAGTGTGTCGACTGCAAAAACCACTCTCACTCTGGCGGTTTTGGCGATGATCCACCTCGAGGCGCATCGTCTCCAAGTATTATTGCCAGCTCGTCGACCAACCTGCCCTCCGTGATTGCTGCCGGTCCATCGTCCTTGTCTTATACGTCGTCGTCAGGGAGCTCTGTGGCAGGCGCAGCATCAGCGCAGCTCGCCTCGTCTCCAGCATCAGCAGCATCAACACCAACCACAGCAACAGCAGCAGCAACCAATACAGCCTCAAGCGGCCCCCGCAAGCGGCCACGAATCATAGAAACCATCACTGAGCGTGCTGATTCTTCGTCATCTGTGCCAGTTCTAGCTAGTGCGCTGCCCTTGCATTCACCCAACGGCGATCTACCTCTGACCTGGTCGTACATGCCAGAACACACACGAACGCGCTTTTCCATTGGCCAGAAGCTGCAATCAGCGCAACTGACTGCCATTAGTGACAAGATAGTAGGGTCGCTCGACCCGGCCATTTCGTGTGAGTTTTGCTTTGCAGGAAGCAGTTTTGCATGTTTAGTTGTTGTGCTCTTTTCTTGTTGTCTGACTTTTTGAATGTGTTTTCTGCTTCTCTGCTCATTTTCTTTCTTTCTTCCTTTTTTTGTTTTTCTGTCTTTGAACACAGCACGCGATCTGAACACTAGCCTGCAAGTTTTCAACTTTATCGACGACCCAGTATCCGACATTGGTACTTCGCCAATTGACGGCGAGCACTCGATACACGAGAATGGCGATTATGCACAAAGCTTGTCGGCATTCCATGGGCTGTCTGCGCCTTCGTCGCCCAATCACGAGCCACTGTTGTGCTCGGAGCAATCCACCGCGTTCGATGTAAGTTGGCCCTTTCTTTGCTTCATCGACTGAGCGGATCATGTAATTTGACTTGGACTGACACGTGCGTTTATTTTGTTCGGCCAGAATCCGCTCGACTCCACCTTATTCAACTCCAGCGAGCGCCTCATTTTGCAAGAGCTTTTCGACGGACTTCAAGACTTGCTCCCCGACGCGGGCGTACGTACCATCATCACGCGTTTTGTGTGGAAGCGAGGCAGGGGGTGTTTTTGATTGCTTTTTCACTTGACGATGAAAACTCATTGTTTTTGTTTTGACCCTGCTTTGGTAGTCGAGCGACTTTTTGCACGCGTCGTCAGTGCTCGAAATGACGCGATAGCAGCAACCTGCAACAGGCGCGATTTCCTCATCCTAGTTTTCTTTCTCGGTTTATTCGTTCATTCGTGTCTAATTATTTCAACTCCCGCCGCCGTCCCCGCTCCCGCTCCCGCCCCCGCCCCCCTCGCGTTTTGGCCAAACCTCGCTTGGGCCTTTTCGTCGAGCGCCTTCGTGCTGGACAGTGGTCGTTTATTTATTTTTTCATTTTCTCGATTTTTGTGAGTTTTGGTTTTTTCCCTTGGTTTGTTCAGCTCGTGTCCCATGTAATTTGATATTCTCCTTCCAGCTTGCAAAAGTCTCCCTCCGTTGCGTATTGTGCACCCCGGACAGTGGGAGGGAGGTGCAGTCGTTTTTTGTATTGTCTCGAGCTTTGAACAATGGACAAAAACGCCGATTTCGCGCCGCTGAACGCCAACATTGTGCGCGCACTCAGCGACAAGCTCTATGAGAAGCGGAAGGTGGCTGCCCTTGAAATTGAAAAGTAGGTCACAGATTAGAGAGAGTGGGTGGGCGGGGCACAGTGATTGAGCTCGGGTATGATTTGCTAGGGCGACGTTGTTAGCAGCCCGTATGGCTTCTGCGCCATCAGATGAAACAATTCTCCTACGGAAACCCTTCTCTTGCTTTTGTGTTTTTGCTTTTGGATTTGGATCGTCTTGGGGCTTGCTCGACCGCTGACACTGCCACGATCTCAATGCACCTCACTCCTGTACTACTGCCATCCGACTCGTTTGCGCTCGTCCTTCCTTAGGATTGTTCGCCAGCTGCAGGACAGCAAGGATAGTAACAAGATCGCTAAAGTGATCACTTTGCTCCGACAAGACTTTGCCTTCTCTGCGAACGGCAACAACCGCAAGGGTGGCCTCATTGGTCTTGCAGCCACAGCCATTGCGCTTGGCCAGGTAAACGGGGCGAGGCAGCCGCGGAGGTGGGGTTGAGGGACGGGGGAGAAGATAGTGATTGGGGATTGCCGATTGATGACAATGGCGCCGCACTACGCACCAGTGGCCAGTCACTCACTCAAACATCACTTGTTCATTGGTTTTGTGCTTTTGCATTATTGGATTTTGGATTTTGAATTTTGGCTTGGATGGCGCTGGTTTGTGGACGCTCCCGTCGCTGCTTCCAATCGTTTTCGTCCGCCCTCTCTCTTTGCCCGTCAACCATTCGATCGCATCAACCAAAACCCGTCTGATTAGAGCATCACGTTCTACCTGGAAGAGCTCATCCCACCCGTGCTGTCGTGCTTCTCGGACCAGGACTCGCGAGTCCGCTACTATGCTTGCGAATCGCTCTTCAACATTTCAAAGGTTGCGCGAGGGGACGTGCTGCCCTACTTTAACGAAATCTTTGACGGTCTCAGCAAGCTGTCCGCCGACCCCGACTTGAACGTCAAGAACGGCGCCGAGCTGCTCGACCGTCTGATCAAGGACGTTGTGACGGAGAGCACCAATTTCGACGTTGAAAAGTTCATCCCGCTGCTCAAGGAGCGCATCAACACTGTCCACCCATACGTGCGCCAGTTCCTTGTCAACTGGATTATCACTCTCGATTCCGTCCAAACCATCGACATGCTGTTCTACCTCCCGCACTTTCTCGACGGCTTGTTCAAAATTCTCAGCGAGCCCAGCAAGGAGATTCGCAAAATGACCGAGACTGCGCTTGGCGAGTTTTTGCGCGAGATCAAGACGGCCTACGATGTCAACTTTGCGGCCATGGTTGAGATTCTAGTCAAGCATTGTCTTGCCACGGGTTAGTTTTTGGTCTGAAAGTTTTTTTTTTTTTTTTTGCCAAATGGGGTTTGGTTTTCTGTGACTCACCACCACCACCCTTTGCATGCTTCCCAGATTACCTCACGCAGCTCACCGCCCTCAACTGGATTCGCGAGTTTATCGGACTCGCAAAGCGAAACATGGTGCCATTCAATGCAAAGTTGCTGAGCGCCATTCTCCCCTGCCTTGCGCACGAGAATGATGAAATCCGCGACGCGGCCGTGCTCGTTAACAAGGCTTTGATGAAGTTAATTAGCGACACCGAGGAAGAGATCTCGACGCGAGAGTCTCAAGCCAGCGGCAGCAAGGAGGAGCCGGCTGACGATCACATCAATGCCACGGTCGATGTTCTGACCCACCAATTCATCAACGAGTCGGTCGAGACACGCGTAGCGGCGCTTCGTTGGATTTTGATGCTCCACTCGAAGGCACCCAAGAAGGTGAGTCTTAAATCATGGTCGAACGTTTTTTAGTTTGGCCATCACTAACTTGTTGTGTCTTGTCGCCTCAGATTGTTGCGCTCGTGGAAGAATTGTTCCCGGCCTTGCTCAAAACGCTGTCCGACTTTTCCGACAAGGTATGTAAATGGTTTTGCATTTTTGGTTGTTCTGTTTCCCCCTTCCCCCTCACTCACTTGTGTCACTATCACTCGGGTCACAGGTCGTACTGCTAGACTTGGAGGTCTTGGCCGAAATCACTTCCTATTCCCCCAATGAAAACCGCAGCACGCCAGAGGCGACCACAGAGTACTTTTTGAACTTTATGCGAAGCCTTCTTTCCCTGTTCAGCACAGATCGCATGCTGATGGAGAAGCGTGGCCCATTCATTATTCGCCAATTGTGCCTGCTGCTCAATCCCGATAAGATTTTCCGCGCTCTTGCGGATATCCTGCTTCGCGAGGAAGATTTGGAATTTGCTTCGCGTATGGTTCAGTCTCTGACCCTCATTCTTTTGACGGCTCCCGAGCTGACCGACTTCCGACAGCGTTTCAAAAACCTGGAGGTCGCGGTAAGTTCCTTTGGGGCCTTTCATTTGCTTGGATGTGTTTTGCTTGTTTGCGCAACTTAGCCTTTTCGTTTTTTTTGTCAAACAACAACAGGCCAACCAATCGCTCTTTGAAACCCTGTACAACTGCTGGTGCCACAATCCAGTATCCACGTTTGCCTTGTGTTACCTGGCCCAAGTGTACCCCCATGCTTGCGATCTCATCCAACGATTGTGAGTTGTCGAGACGACGACTGTTCTTTGTGATTTGTGCGGTTTAGGCTCATCTTTGTTTTGTTTGTTGCGTTTTGCGAATGCAGCGGTGACCTCGATGTGACAGCTAGCCTGCTTGTGGAAGTCGACAAGCTGATTCAATTGCTCGAGTCGCCGATTTTCACCTGTGCGTTGCTTTTGGAGCGAGCCCGCTCGCATTATTTCATTTTTCTGACTTTGTCTTCTTGGATTAGATTTGCGATTGCAACTGCTTGAACCTGAGCGACACCCGTTCCTCGTGAAGAGCCTGTATGGGTTGTTGATGCTCCTCCCTCAAAGTGCCGCATTCAAGACCTTGTATCACCGACTCAAGTGCATTCCCAACATTTACGCCTTCTCGTCTGTTCCTGCTGGGTATGTGGCATTGCCGTGCGTTGGGGGGTTGACAGTACGAGTGCCATGGTTTGCTCAATTTTTCTCTCTGTTGTTGGTGGTTCGATCTGGTGCAGACCCAAGTCTCCGGCTCCTGCTGCACCTGCTGCAGGGCGCGTGGACTTTGGCGCACTGCTGGCGCAGTTTGATGCTGTTCAGAAGAAGCACGCACTCCCAACACGCAAAGCGCGTGCCGATCGCGAGTCGCGTTGATTTTGATTTTCTCGATGAGACCTGCAAATTGTTTTTTAAAATTGGAACAGCAAAGCCAGCAACATGGTTAATTTTGATAATACACGCATCGTACATGTTTGATCCGCGGGTTGTCTGTTGAATTTATTCGAGGTTGGAGGGTGGGGGGGGGGAATGAGTGGGCGATCCAGCGAGGAGGGAAACGAATCGGGGCTTTTGCGGGGGTCGCGCTGCACCCACTCACTGTTGCTTGCTCCCTGATGGCAATGTGTGATGTGTGATGTCCGTCTGGTGCTTGTCTATCTATCTGGCTCGTGCAACACAACGCGTTGATCACCGTTTCGTCATGGAAACTCGATTCACACACGAACATTTCAAACAAAAAAAACAACCCTTACAAAAAGCAAAACGATACCCAAAAAACAAAGCAAAAGACCTAAAAAAACAAAGTGTTGTTCGATATTTTTTCCTTGTTTTTAGGGTTTTTCGGGTTTTTTAAGGGTTTTGAAAACGAGGACTGTTTTTACTGACTCACGAAATCCAAGTCCAACTCTCTCTCTCTCTCTCTCTTTCTCTCTCTCTCTTCATTTGTGTTCATTTCTCATTCATTCAGCTCGATTTCATTCGTCATCCTGATAGTCCCCGAGTTGTTCGCCTTCTCATCCAGCGCGTGAGATTTTTTTTTTTTTTTTTTGTGAGGGTTTTTACACCTTCCAACACTTTCGACAAGCGACGACCACTCGTTCTCAGTCAGCTACGCGAGAGAGTAGCAGACGCACTCATTCAATCACTCAACGGAGCTTGCGCGCGCAGAGGGGGGGGGAGAGAGAGAGAGAGCGAGGAGAGGACTGAGCATCCATCGCGAAGCCAGTCAGTTCCCGCAATGATGGAGGGTCGGAGCGAACCTTCATCATCAAAGCAGACCGCAGCCATGCTGTCCCGCCACTCGACGCCTGCGCTGCGTGTCGTCCTCGCAGATGCAGGTGCAGACGACGACAGTGCGGCCGCTGCTGCTGGTGCTGGTGGTGCTGCTGGTTCACCGACACACGCATTCGGAGCATTCGCATGGCAGCAGCAACAGCAGCAACAGCCCGCAGCAGCCCAGCACAGCAGCAACAGCAACAGCAGCACCCGGTCACCCACCATGGCTGCGACAGGCAGTGCATCACGGTCGGGCAATGGCGGCAACACGACTGCTTCAAGGGGACGGCGTCGTCGGGCGGCTTCAGACCGCGAAGGTGCGCCGACAACGCTTCTTCCGCAGCTGAACAGCAGCCACGGCACAGGAGCGACCACTGGCACCAGAGCGAGGCACAACACAAACACTGCGCTTGGCAATGGCAATGGCGGCGGCGATGTGATGGTCGTGTTGCCTGGCTCGGCGTCGAGCGAGGGCAGCCGAAGCGATTTGCTCTTTGCGCAGTACCTGGCACGGCAGCCTGCGAGCGACCAGCCGCCACCACTGCTTCAAGCATCATCACCGGCTGTCTTTGCGCAGCAGCACAGCGCGCGGTCGCTCGTGCTGGCCGGCAAGTCCAGCGCTCTGAACAATCCAGGCAATTCAGGCGACCCAAATCAAGGCAATTCGAAACTCAATCTTGCACCTAATACCGCAGGTCCTGCTCTAGCTGCTCCAGCTGCTGGGTTGACTGCTCCAGCAGGATCGTTCAGCTTCCAGATGGAGACAGACACAAGCACAGCCATGAATAGCACGAGTAACACTGTCTCGCCAAGCTACAGCTACAACACGGGCAGCCCGCTCAGCCCAGGCCAGGCGCTCCGAGGCTCAGCATCTCATTCCAACTACCATGCCGTCACAGCGCTCCCGATTGCTGTGGCAGCACTGCCACCACGCGTCATTTACTCTGCGCCTTTGGACGCAAACCCACTCCCACAAGATTCAGCCGCTCATTCTGCTTCGGTCGCTTCCACCGAGCCACTCATCGCGGGACCAAGCCGGACGAACGCTGCTGGCCGCCAGCCCAAATCGCCCGACAGTTCCACCTTCCTCAGCCAATCAGACAGCCTTCAGCACGACGATCAAAGCCAGCGATTGCATCAACGGCGGCCGAATCGCAGCCATTCGTTCTCAGGATCAGAGTCGGAAGACACGGCGACCAGCCAATCTACGCTTTCGGACGTCGACTCGCGCTCAGACTCTATGGACGACAGCGACGACGACGATGACGGCGACAGCGACGATTGCTCCACATACGGGAGCCGCAGCTCTTCCGATCGCGGTGCAGACTCGGATGCTGATCACTCCTTCTCCCAAACCGATCAATTTGAACTCCGAAATCGTCGTACCGACGACGAAACAGACGGGGAGGGTGATCGACGGCGGCGGCGGCGGCGGAGGAGCAACAATCGCCGTCGTCGTCGTCTAAGACAGCAAACCAAACGGTCTTGGTCGAAAACATGTTGTTCAGTGTTGTCACGACCCTACCGACGATTCCGACGCATCCTTCGGCGCTGGAACCGCGCTCACCAGAGCGAAGAGGTTGGCAAGCCATTCTTGATGCACCCCGTGCATTTGAATTTTGCAGACCCTGCCGCCGAAAGCGAGTACTCCGATCATATCTGCCGTCGCCAGTTGCCGCTCTGGAGAACCTCCGCCTTCGTTGTTTCCATCATCATGTTTGCCTTTGCATTCTTTGACTGGTTTAACATTGACGAGACGCATTTGCTGGCGGCGGCTCTCGTCATCCGGGCATTCAGTATTAGTTATCTGCTCTTCTTTGCGACCTACCTCTCCAAAACGGCCTTCTTTGAGCGACACTATTCGGCCATTGTCACGCAGCTCCTGATCGTCCTCGGCGTTTCGTTCGTCATTGTTCGGCAGTTGAACGACCCTTCAAGTCCGGTTGTCGCCCTCCTCGTGCTGATTGTCTATGCGTACATTTGGTGCGTGGTGCGTCTCCGCATCATGTACTCCACTTTGTGTACGGCGGCCGTGCTCGTCGCTTTCAACGCGGGCCACTATGCTCAAGAAACCGGCTCGAACGTCACCGAGAATGTCTACCTCTTCTGCGCGCTCTTGATTTTTGCCTTCCAGGGCTATTTAAATGAGCGCCTTCACCGGCATGACTTTTGTCTCCGATCTGCGACTGCCGACGCTGCTCTTGCCGTGGCCATCGCCCGCAAGTACGAACAATCCGACCAGCTGAAGACGCAGTTCTTTGAGAACATGTAAGGCCGCCCCCCCCGTCTGCCTTCAATGAGTTACATGTGGAGCAGGAAAAGAGTAATGTGCAGCGACTTGATTTTGATTTTTTTGATGTTTTGTTTTTTTTTTTTTTTTTTTTTTTTTTTTTTTTTTGCTTTCCCGACTTGCCGTTGGTTTTTGTCTCTTAGGGCACATGACATGCGCACGCCAGTCAATGCTATTGTTGGCATTGCACAGTTGCTGACAGAAAGCTGCTCCGATCGCGAGCAGCTCGATTTTATCCGACTCATTGCAGACACTGGCCTGGAATTGCGCGTGCTGATTGACGATTTGTTGGACATGTCTACCATCCAGGCCGGCAAGCTCACGTTGCGACCCGAGCCCATGTACTTGACCGAGCTTGTTGAAAAGTCATTGGACACGCTGGCGGTTGCCTTCCATCGCAAGAATCTCGAGCTCTTCTCGTTCGTTGAGCACGAGACGTACCAGTTAATGGTAGATGGTGGTCGTCTCAAGCAGGTGAGCGCTTGTTCTGCTTGCGTTTTCGGTTGATTTCAAGTTGCGTTGAAGTGAAAAAAAGCGCAGAGCCACTCACAACTTGTTTTCGTTGTTCCCGCCCTCCTCCTTTGTGTGTTTTTTGTTGATCTTCTTTTTCGCAGATCATTTTCAACTTTTTGTCCAACAGCTGCAAGTTCACCTCGACGGGCGGCGCGTCATTGACCGTTGCAAGATTGATTGAGGATGAAGGCACTGTGACCTACCAGTTTTGCATTGCCGACAGCGGCATTGGAATCAAGACGAGCGATCAGCAAAAGCTCTTCCGTCGTTTCTTCCAGATTGACAACGAGGTGCAAAAGAAGGTCACGGGCACGGGCTTGGGCTTGGCCGTTTGCAAGCAGCTGATTCAGCATATGGACGGATCGCTGCTCGTTGACTCGCATGAAGGCCAAGGCACGACCATTGTCTTTGCCATTCCCTTCAAGAAGGCGACGGCCAATCCTCCATTCCTCGAACTACCAGACATGACGCAGCAGCAGCAACAGCAGCAGGAGCAGCAGCAGCCCAGTTTGGTTCAACTCAAGCAAACGGAGCCGGCAGGCCTTTCTGCCTCGACGACAAGCTCACAGGCAGAGTTTGCACGCACACAGCTTGCACGCGAAAGTGCTCCTTTGGCAACGAAATCCGTGCCCGCAGCCTTCTTTCCATTCCCCGAGCCGTTTTCAGAGGGCGACAGTAACAGCAGTAACCATCACGGTGGCGTGGCGTTGGGCGGTACACGAAGCCGCGCGTCCATTTCGCACTCGGCATCGGACATTGGCACGGTCACGGTGCAGTTCACGTCGCCAACCAAGAACGCTCAGTCTCTGCTCGACCACGAGCCCGTACCAGAACGACTGCCGTTGCTTCTTGAGTACGATCCGCTCTCCCAAATGGTGCAAAAGGCGCCCCTGTCCAGCTCGACTCTAGCATGCGTTCCCGAACTCGACCACGGCGCTGGGGTCGACCACCAGCAACAGCATCCAATTCTAACGCATCGCGACAGCAAGTTGACGCTGGACATGGCCCAAGCAGCTCCCCAGCTTCCTCAAGCTGCTCCCGTTGACACTTCTAGAAGCTCGGCTGGTGCAGCTTTCGCACTACCGCCGTCGGCTAGCAACTTGGATTTCAGCTGCAGCCATTTCACTGCGACTGGCGTGGCTTGCCAGTACTCGCTCGCTGGATGCCACGAGCGCTATGTCCGATATTGCTCCACGGACAGGTCGACACAATGCGTCATTGTGGAGTCGACGGGCATGTTTGCTCGTTGTCTCATGCTGACGCTCCACGACTTGGGCTTTCCCAATGTGATTAGCTTTCCGACGACGACGGCGGCGTATCAATACGTGGTCGAGCTTGCCCAGTCCTCTCAAACCAAAATTCTCGTGTTTGTATCGGATCATTTGGAGCAACAAGGGGCAGGCTCTTCGGGCGCCAAGCATCGCGAAAGCAGGGAGCGTGAGCGCGAGCGCGAGAGCAAGGATTCCCAAACGCGCGACACAAAAGACCGCCCCAAGGTCATCTGGCCCAGCATGTTTGATCCCAACCGACGCCGCGGTTCCCGTGTTTCGACACACGATCCCGAGCTCGGCATGAGCGACGCGTCGTCCACTTCTATCGGAGGCGTGAGCACCCACTCGAGCGTGTCGTCCGCCACCGCTCCAGCTTCAGGCTTGGTGGCCCCAGCACCTTCCTCTCGCGCCACTCTGGCCATTCCGACCACGACGGCAGGCATCTCGCGAAACCGCGAAAAGTCTGTTCGGCGCGGCGCCACCATCGACACGCCCGCAGCGTTCATCTACGACCTACCTCCGCAACCACCCAAAGCTCCAGCAGTTCTTTCTAGACACACCAGCGCCGATCTGTACGTGACGGCGGCATCCAGCTTGGAAGTGGCTTCGCACGAGTGGCGTGGCTCGCGCTCTCGATCGCCCAGCCCAAAGCCCGCACTTCGCCGCACCTCCAATCTGGACATGCAAGAGGCCCGAGACACGCGGGATACGCGGGACATGCGTGACACTCGTGACTCTCGTGACACTCGTGACACTCGTGGTCGCGTCGATGCCTCCATCGGGAGTGCCAGAACCAGCAGCAGCGCGTCAATCAGCTCAAGAGCGTCCATGCCTGCTGGCTGCAACTCTTTTCTGGAAGCCCTTCGTGCTTCGCCCGATCTCTGGGCGCGTGTTCGGTGCATGATTCTTGTCTGCCACCGTCCGCAGGGTGCCGCTACTCACTCACTGAACAAGGCAAGCACGGACAGCGGCCCTCCCTCTCGTCGCATGACTGGCACCATGACGCTCAAAGAGCGAGCCCAGATCAAGCCAACCAAAAGCGCGATGGTTTTCCCGCAGGTGCAGCCGCACGCGTCCCGAGGCTCACAGGATGCAAGCTCACACCGGCCGTTGGAGACGGACTTGCCGTCGTACTGCGCAGTGTTGCGGACCCCCGTTCGACGTTCCGCGCTGGTCGAGGCCCTGCACAAGCTGATGTGGGAGGCCAAGCACAGCGCCGTTGTTTCGTGGCGGCGGTCCACGGTGATGGAGCACCAACCTGTGCTTCATGCATCTGCGACGCGTGTTCAAACCAGTCCCGGCTCCGTTTCGCGGTCCCCAGCATCCAAGTCGTCGCTCGTACGCCAAACAAATGTACCTGCCCAACGAGCTCCGTTATCGAGCGTCGCCTGGCACGACGATCTGGCCGCCAGCGATGAGTATTTTGCAGCAACGACCGCTTCCGCCGCCGCAGCAACCCCGCAAAGTCAGACGGCGCTGGGTTCTACCGCCGGATCTAGTGCGACTTCTCACTCGCCTGTTCCGCCAGTGGCGGCGTCCAATGGATTTGTGCAGAACGAGTCCATGATTACTGCGTTCACACTTCCGACAGACAGCCCTGCACGTCCCCTGGTTTTAGTTGCCGAAGACAATCCGGTATGTGTTTGAGAGAGCCGAGGGGGGGGGAATTTCAGCTTGATTAGTTTTGTTGGCTTTGTTGGTGACTGACTGATTCTTGGTGTCTTTGTGCAGCTCAACACGCGCGTGCTTTCAGCGCTGCTGTCGCGCATGCAAGTTGATTGCGACTTTGTTAGTAACGGGATGGAAGTTGTCGACCAATTTAAAGACAACGCGCAACGCTGGATGCGGGGCGAAGACCGGCGATTTGCGTTTGTGCTGATGGACATTGAGGTAGGACATAAGAAGTTGGATATGTTGGGAGCTGGCTGAGGTGTTATTAAAGCTGACGGAACGTCTGATTGTTTTATGTCGTATTTCAGATGCCGGTACTTGATGGCTATGCCGCGACGGCCAAGTTGCGAGCGTACGAGCAGGAGAATGGCCTTCCTCACGTTCCAGTCTACGGCGCCAGTGCTCATAGTGCTGTTCGGGAAGCTCCGCGTGCACTTGCCAACGGAATGGATGGATTCTATTGCAAGCCGCTGCTGAAGGCGGACATCCAGCAACTCATTGCGAGTTGGCAGCAGTCCAAGGCCAATCGCTCGTTCTCAAGCACTTCGTTTGCCTTCCCTTAGAGTTGCCATTGCTAGCTCAGTTTTTTTATTCACGTTTTTATTTTAAAAACTGTAAACTTGCCTCTGTGTTGTAACATTATTTGATTGTTTTTTTCAAGAACGTTTCTTTTCGACTAACAAACACCAGAACTGAAACAACCCGTTTCTCAGAAATGCGTCGGAGCTTGGTCTCGTCGCAGCTCTTCCAGCGCCCAGCGACGATTTTCAATTTCCTCCAGCACACTCCCGTACTCGCGCACGAGTTCGGTGAATTTGGAGCCGATCGATTGATACGCGACGAGCATTCGGTTACTGGCGTCGCGCTCGGTGCGAGACTCGACAAACGCTGTGCTAACGTAATCCCTGCAGAGCCCTCGACGCGAGTAAGTGAGTTTCAAGAGATGGGATTGCAAGCGAAAAAACAAATCATAATCAATTGAGCTGACTTTACCTTAGGAGTGCAAGGGCAGGTAAGGTTGCGGGCGTGTAAGTATCATGCTCTAATTGCATCGCCAAAACACTGGAAACGTTGTTCAAGCCGATATGAGAATGGATCGAATGAGAAAAATCACAGAGGAGGCGAAAATGCACGAGAATTGAACAAACCTGAGCTTCAGCCCCATCGCTTCGCATTTGGCCGCAGCCCATTTTGAGGTTGCTGCGTCGAACTGCGCTTGTGAACCCAAGAGGTGCTTGGACACCATCTCGTGCATTGTGCGAAGCGTTTGCAGGAGGGCCTGAAAAAAAAAAACAGAGAGTAATGTGAGTCAGGTAAGGGTTACCAGGGCGATCAACAAACTCCCTCTGAAACTTCAAGCCGTACTGTAAAATAGGCTTCCATTTGAACGTTCGGACGCGAGTCGTTGGTGCTCGAGTCTTGCTTTTGCTGCAACAGCGCTTGGTCGCGTTGGACTCCATCCACGAACGCACTCATGCGTGCAGCCATCGTGGTACTATTCTGCGCTCCGCTTGCTGCACCGCAACAGATGAGAATCAAACGCAAAGCAGTGAGGAAGAGTCAAGAACAAATGACCGGAAAACGCATGCAGCAGTTCGAGCTACGGACTGTACCACTGCTAACAGGTGTGTAAAATGCCAACAAGGCAGAGCACTTGTCTTGAATCTGCGCCTCGATTTGTCGTACCAGCGTTCCGTTTAACGCGGCCAGTTCCTGAAGTTTCCCCAGCAGTTCCGAAAGTAATAGGAAACAAACCAAACCAAAAACAAAACCGATCAGTGAGACGAAACTCCCAAGCCAGGTTACTTGTTAAATCCAAGATACATAGCCCGGGAATTCTCCACCTACATCGGAAGCGTCCTGTGCGAGGTCTGCCGAGCTTAGTCCCAGCAGGGTTTCTCCCGCCGAATGACGAGCGGATTTGGCGCCAAATTCAGCTTGTTTCGTGGACTGGCGATCGTCCGAGGCTTGACTGCTGCTGCCACGGCCATCCCGCGGTGACAAGTGCACGACTTGCGCTGCTTCAATGCATGCAGCGTTGGCTTGGATTCGCTGCTCCTCGCTGGACTGCGGCTGGACGAGCAGCGCGGCCTCGAGTTCGCTGTAGACGCACGCAGCCTCGAGGTACGCCTGCCGCTGGACGTCTGCGTCTGCCCGCGTCTGTGCAACGTTGGACACACACACACACACGATGGATTTTGCAATGACGAGTGGATGGAGTGGTGAGTGATGGCTCTGGAGTTGAACAGTCTGATTGTCACTCAGTCAATCACCCGCCTCCTGTCCTTGGTTGTTCCAATCGGAAGCCCCCGAATCACTCAAGGTCACTCACTCCTCAGCTGGATTGCAAGTCAATCTCAAGTCTCCCTCTTCTTCTGTCTGAGATTGTCTGAGATTTGTCTCAATTCTCAATCTCTGAGCGGATTTGGGTGCGTTTTTCATTTTTTACCCGCTTCAGTGCTTCGTGTGTCGCGCGCGGAATGCCTGCTCCTCCTAGGGATCCAGCTGATGTACTGCCGCTGACGAGCGCGGTGGTTTGAAGCAGCGCCTCGACCATCCGCGCAAAGTGAGGGTGCCGCTCAAGCACGTCCGCGTCAATCCCAGCAGCGGCCGAGACAGCCTGAGCGGAGGATGATGATAACGCGACGCCAGATTGCATTCCCAGAGGCTGCAGCTTATTCATTGTCGTCGTGATGGGTCAGAGCGGCGCGAGAGTGAAAAATTTGAACTGAGCCGGACTGAGTTGAGCTTGATTTGGACGATCATTCTGAGCCAATGCGACGATGGCCATCACAAGCATGCTCAACAACTTCTTACATTATATTTTGTATGACATGTTCATCACTTTCTGAGCTGTTGTGTTCCGAGCACAGAGCTCAGTCCTTGTAATTCTCGCTCGTTCACGCTCCAAATCTCACTCACCTCGACAAGCATGGCAGCCGTGGCGCGCTCGCAGCCGATGCGCATCCTCGTTGCCTGCGACAAGTTCAAGGAGAGCCTCGCCGGTCCTGCCGTCAATGCAGCGATCGCACAGGCGCTCCAGCACGCGCTTCCAAGTAACGCTGCAGCGTCCAAATCATCATTGCACTTGGTCTGAACATCCATCCTTGTTCTTTTTTTTGTTTTGTGTTTGTTTGATTTGGTCAGATTGCATCGTGTCCAAAATGTGCATGAGTGATGGCGGCGATGGCTGGATTGACAGTCTACGCTCTCCGCTTCAGCTCGAGATTCAACAAGTTCAGGTCAAAGGTTTGTCTTCTCCAAAAGCACAAGCACCGCATCTATGAAATTGTCGTGGCATATGAGTCAGGACGGGGGGGGGGTTACAATGGATGCTGGTTTTTGATTCATTGTTGGCGTTGTTCCAGGACCTTACGGAAAGCCGGTCACTGGCCAAATTGGCGTTTGCCACTCACAACGATTGGCGGTCATTGAGATGGCAGCTGCTTCAGGTACCTGCATGGCGAGTAATTTGGGCTGGGTCTTAGGGTTGCATTCTGTGACTCATCCTTTTCGATGGATGCTGGTTAGGCCTGGAACTGACGACTGCCGCGGAACGCAACCCGCTACACGCGTCCACTTTTGTGAGCCAAAAGGGGGGAGGGGATTCGTGCATGTCTGATCTTGAAGCGTTGTAATGCTGATGTATTGTGTTCTGGATTGGTTTTAACAGGGATTGGGGCAACTCATCAAGGTTGGAAGAGCCAACAACAAAAAGAACAAAGGGGGGAATAATGCAATTCCGATTCTACTACTCTGTCATCACTAACTTTCCTGTGTTCGTTCACTCTCATAGGCGGCATGTGCTACGGATTGCTCAGAGCTATTGTTGGGAATCGGTGGCAGCGCCACGAATGACGGTGAGAGTCCTTCACTTCACCACTGCACTTGCAACTTCACTGAACGTTACTCTGCTTCCTTGTCGGGTCAGGTGGCATCGGAGCGCTCCACGCTTTGGGGCTGCAGGTGGAGCTGAGGGATCGGGCAACACCTGAGCAAATCACTGGTCGCGATTTGCAGCACATCCAACGGTTGTCGCTTCCAGGATGCGACTGGGCTGAAATGCAATCCATGAGCGTCGCAGCGCGGGCTGCGCGTGCCCGACAAGTTCTTTTGGGTCGAAGCGATCGAGTCGTGCGTGTTGCTTGCGACGTGACCAATCCCTTCACCGGACCGCAAGGCGCGACTGCCGTGTTTTCCGCGCAAAAGGGAGCCACCGCTGCTCAGCAGGTTTGTTGCGTGTGCAGTTGCGAGCTGTGCGGTGTCCTGGTTGGACTTGCGATTGACTGTTCTTGTTGGTTGCAGGTGGAGCTGGAGGCCGGCATGGTCAACTTGACAAAACATCTTGAACTTTTGACGGGAGTCAGCGTCGAGGTCATGCCCGGAGCTGGCGCCGCAGGTGGCGTAGGCGGAGGCTTTGCGGCCGTGCTGGGCGCCGAACTTCAGCGAGTAAGCGGAAAGGTTTCGGAGAAAAAACACCCGGCGACTCGACAAACACTGACCAATAGGGTTCTTAGGGAGTGGTGTTGCTGAGCCGCACGCTTGGACTCGAGCGTGCTATTGCAGATGCAGATTTGATTGTGACGGGCGAAGGAAGCTATGACGCGCAAACATTTAGCGGCAAGGTTGTCTCTCATGTAAGCGCCTTGCAGTTGGCTACTTGCTCGCTACTTCCACGCAAGCTTTGCACTCGCTCATTTTGTTGGGTGCATGCCAGGTGAAGGATCTTGGGCGTCAATACAACAAGCCGGTTGTTGTCGTGTGCGGTGTGAGCAAGGTTCCCGAGGTGTCGAATGAGGCAGTGCTGCAGCTAACCAGCCAGTTTCCACTCGACGCGTGCATGCACGACACTGCGCAATGTCTGGAAGGTCTGATCAAGCGCAACTCTGGCTTGTTTGAGCGACTTTTGGGGCGATCGTAGCGGTTGAGTTGTTTTTGAGTAAATTGTACGCTTGGCCGCCTTGTAGCAACTTCTAGCTCGCATTGTTATGTTGACTGTGCAACATTGTTCTATTCTTGATACAATGACGAGCTCAGTCTAAATTGTTTCCTGCACAGTCATAATGGTGAGGCCGTTTCACTGAACGAGCATTACAATTCGAGTCTGGCTCAAACACTGCCGGTTGCGTTCGTGGTCCACTTTGCTTTACGCTGATCCACTGACGATCGCCTGCGTTGTGTGTTTTGCTGCTTTGGTGGCTCACGCAGGCCAACTCGAGTAACAAGCGCATCTACGAGGCGAACAAGCGCATCCTGTCGCTGCACCTCAACATTGTGCTCATCTCGCTTGTAAGCCCGCAATCATTGCAACCATCGAGAGTGCTTCTGTCTGTCTGTCTGTCTGTCTGTCTGTGTGTCCGGGTCCGGGTCTGGACGAACCGGCCCACCGAGTGTCTGTCTGTGTGTCCGGGTCCGGGTCTGGACGAACCGGCCCACCGAGTGACCCTGACTGACTCGAGATTGAACTCTCAGTCTCTCGCCTGCCATTGAGGTCGTGATCCACTCACGCAAAAGCAAAAAAAAAAAAAAAAACTCACCCCTTGCATTCATTATTGAACAATTCAGGTGCTCTTCTTGCTCGTGCGCATCGGATGGCAGTTTGACAGCATGTCAACGTGGATCTGGGTAACGAATCCCGCCCATGTTTTTGTGGGTTGCAGATTTCATGAACACAGCAACTCACAGTTTGGCCACTCAAAACGACATGTCGCGGACTCTGGTACAAAATGCGGTGAACGCGCGCGGTTGGACGGCGAAGGTGGCTGCTGCCGGTGTCGTTGGATCGGATGCGATTTGCTACTCGCTGCTCGCTGCCAGCGGTCGCGCAAGCTTCTCTCCCTCAGGCGAGCTCCTTGATGCTGGCCATGACTTGGATGCTGGAGGTCTTTCCGAGTCAGTGGTTGTTTTGTTGGCTTGAGTCAATGACCATTTTTGTTTGGTTGTTTGGTTGTTGCAAAATCCCCCCCCCCCGAGAGCTCAATTTTGGTTGTTGCAACAGGTACTACAAAGATGTCATCTACGTCAACTGCGCAGTGAAGGCTCTGTCTGTGTTCTTTAACGCTGCATGGTTGATTTGGGCTGTGGTATGGTCTTGCGCGCTTTGGGTTTGGAAGTTTTGCAAAACCTCTCACCTCACCAATCGTTCGCTCTTGTTGGACAGATTCCTGTGTTTGCAACGTACAAGGTCTGGGGCATGTTCCTCGGACCGCTGGTCATGTCGTGGTTCTCCCGAGGAGATCAGCAATCAGACCAGATGGATGAGGCTACCGCAAAGCGTCTCGCCAAGAAGGAGCGCCAAGCCGCGCGTGCTGAAAAGTTTAATACTCGTCGTTAGTGCCCGTGGTGTTGTTTGGATTGGCAGATACTGTGCAATGAGATGTTTCTCGTATCTTTCCTGCAAGCATGTTTCAGGTTATTGGGGGGGGGGGAAACTGAACATGAAAGCAAAACACCAAAAAAGTCCAAACTTCAGTCTTCAACACATTTACTAACAAAGAAATCGGCTTGGGATCAACACACACATAAAACGGATGCACCATGGAAAAAATCGCACATTTATCAACATTTTGCTTTTAGCACACAACTTGGTCCCAGTGTTGGGCGGAGGGACGTTGGGCAGAGGGACGCACAACACTGTCATCGTCGTCATCCGCCATCTCGCCTTGCAACGCGGACACGTCGTTCAGTTCTGATTGCACGCAGAGGGAGTTGCTGCGACTAAGAAAAGGGGATTTCGTTGACGGGAACGGAACGACAATGGACGCGTTCGAAGCGACAACGCTGAAGGGAATTCGGTCGTGTCGCTGGGTCGCCAGACGCTCTTGCCAGCCATTCTCTTCGAGGTCTGGCCGTGAGGTGCAGCTCAAGCCCGTTGACAGCGGCGTTTGAGGCAGCCTGCTCAGCTCGGCATCTTCGCCCTCGAAACTGCAATCAGCGCGGCAGGCAGCCTGCTCCTCTTCCGGTTCGGCGTGATCGACGGTGGGCATGTCGGATTCAACTGGCGCTGATGCTGCTGCTGCCGCTGCTTCTTGAATCGCCCTGGAAAAGGCAGATCGCGGCATGCTGGGGCGAGCAGACGTCCTGCGGGAGACCGATGCGGGTATCGGTGCAGAGGTAGCCGTGCTTTCCTGTCGCTGCTGGCGGGCCATTTGCAACGCTCGCGAAGCAAACATGGGTGACTGCGGCACGGTGATGCGTGGCTCGCTGCGTTCGACTGGCCGACTGACAGCTGGCGCTTGTTGGCGACGAATAGCGGGAACAGGCGCTGGTAGGCGATGGGATTCAGACTCGGCTGGCACATTCCGTTGGCGATCAGTGTTGCGGAAGCGCGTGGAAAGCATGGGAGACTGAGGGACTGTGAGCTCGCGACGAACAACAGCAACTTGGCGACTCGAGGTGGATGCATGCGTCGGTGCACTTGTCGCACGAGCTCGCATCTTCTCCCGCGCTGCTTCAATCTCCTGCAATTGGCGCTCCTCTGACGACAAGGCTGGCTCACGACGAGAGCGATGACTCTTGGAGAGCTTTGGCGAGATGGGCACGGTCAGTTCGCGGCGCTGGACCGATCGAACTTGCGGATTGGAGGGACGAGCGGCAGCGTGGTTTTGCTGAGGAATCGTAGTCAAATCGCTGGCACGGGTACCGCGGGAAGAAGAGGCAAACTGGAACGGCACTGGCTGTGTGACGCGAGAAGACGCGGGAGCCGCAGACGGCGCGCGGGCCGGGGCACTCGAGTTGCCGTTGCGAGCAGCAACGCTGGCAGTGGGCATGGCAAACCGAGGCAGGCTGGTCATCGCACCAGCGCCTGTAGCGGAGGAGACGCTGCCAGAGCGCGACCTGTTCATTCCGCGCACTGTGGTGGCGACAGAATCTTCCATCACAGATGTGTTGGCGGAGGAAGAGGAAGACACGCTCGAGCTCCGGGATCGAGAACGAGTTGAGGTGGAGAACTGGAACTCTTGCGGCTCTGTGAGCGGGACAGTGGAGCGAACGGGCATGTAGCTCGAAAGCCCATTCAGAGAGCGAGTGAGCGCAGAGCGCGAAGCCTGCCGGGCGCGCTGAAGTTCCTCGCGCTCCCTCATAATTCGTTGCAGCTCCAAATCCTCAGACGACAGCCCCTGGCGAGCAGACACTCGGGCGCGCTCGCGTCGCACAAACTCGGGCGTGATGGGTACGGTGATGTGTGGCTCGGTCTGGAGCCTGGCTCGACGCACAGAGGCAGGCGTTGCGCTCGGGTACTGGCTTCTCCCGTTGCTGTTGTTGTTGGATGCAGGAGTGGAGGGTGGGAAGAGGCCGCGAGCTTGGTTGTGAGCAGTAGTCTGTTGACGAGCGTAAGCGGGAGTTGCAGCAGGAGCAGCGGCGGCGGCGGGTGCTCCTCGCGGACGGCCAAAGGAAGGGGTGATTGGGACGGTGAGCAGAGGTCGAGCGCTGCTTGTTGCGATCGTTGGATTTCGGATGGTCGAAGCCGGGGCGTTCACAGTTGGGCGAGGGTACTGGGCAATGCGCGATTGTCCAGCAGCAGCAGCAGCAGCAGTGCCAGGTTGCTGCGGTCGTGTCAACGGTCTGGCATAACTCGGGGTGGACTGCACGATCGGCTGGTGGGACGCTGCAGCTGCACGGACGGAGCCAGGGGGCAAACCCGGAGCACCACGACGTGCGGCAGGAGTCGCAGGCGGAAGCGATGCATCCACCATCATGGGTTCTGTAGCCAGTTGACGCAAGTGCATTGGCACCAGTTGTGCGTTGAGAACACCTCGTGCAGTCGCAGCTGTCGTGGTAGTGGCAGTAGTGGTAGATGGGATGGCAGGCACGTCAGCCAACGGCGACGATTCGATGGAGGCTTCGTTTGCCGCTGTTCCGCGCCCGTTTTCAATGAATGAGCGGGGCGCAGCTGAGCGCTTGTGTGCAGAGCTTGTCTTGGGCCGGCCGCCTGCTTCGGCGTTGGCAGCAGTCAGCTTGTCTGTCAGCGTTCAAGGCATTTTGCGTTGGTTTAGCAAACGGTCTGCTCTCTCTTTTTCCGTCTGCAGTGTTGGCTTTGTCGAGTGTTCGTTTTCGATCATCCAACATTCACTCATCGGCTGTTGATTCTGCATTGATTTTCCCCATTTCATCTTGTTTTTTTTTTTTTTTTTTTTTTTTTGAAACGGTTTCATAAATTTTTGACAGGTCGTTTTTTCCCGCTCGTTTGCTCTTTTTTTTTTTTTTTTTTTTTTTTTCAAAACCCAATCCACTCTCACTCACAACGGCTCGCCGCTGCATGCATGAGTAGGAAGCCAACAACATCACTGCACTCACCAAACCAACTGTCGGCGCCGTCCGCAGCAGCCTCCTGCTCGCTTGTAAAGTCGGTGAAGCCTGGCGCATCGCAGTCCCACATGAAGTCCATGTCGCCCGACGCGGCCGCCGCCTCGTCCGCTGCAAAGTCGCAGATGGACAAGTCCAGTGCCAGCACAGGCTGTGCTGGTTCTTGTGGTTGCTGCTGCTGTTGCTGTGGTGCTTCGTTCTCCATCGGTAAGTTCTGTTTGGCCTCGTTGTACGGAGCTGGGATGGTTGACGGTTTCTTTTGGATCACTGCAACGACAAAGCACTGCTCGCTGTGTCGTTCCAGGTCGATGATGTTATTGAATGGTGAATTCAGCGAAAAAGTGAAAAAAGAAGTGCTGAAAGGAGAAAAGGAAGAAGAAAACGAAAGCAACAAAGAAAAAAGTGAAGGAAAGTGAAAATGGTTTCAAACCGTTTCGGCTTTCTTTGATTTTTTTTTTTGAAAAAGTGAAACAACGGAAAGAAGGAAAGTTGAATAAAGAAACAAAAAAAAAGAGTGACGAATACAGATGTGAACAAAATCAGAGCAATGATGAAAAGCAACAGTCATACGAGGAGAACGAAGCGGAGGACGAAGAAGAAGAAGAACACGAGAGTCTGAGCGAAACTGTTACGACCTTACCCGGAACTTGACCTAAAATCACTACTGAAGCGTACGAAAAGTATGCGGAGGTATCGTTTACTAAGAACACAGTGTAGAATGAGGGGAAGACCGATTTGGGATGAGCCCAGTTCGTAACAAGCTCAGTGTGTCTGTGATTGCTCTTTGTCATCGTTGAGCCTGATCTCTGCCCCTTTCCCCGTCCCCTTCTACCCCCGGGGAGAAATTTCAAAACTCGATCATACTCGCACTGGATTTTGGATCATGATGGGCAAGGTTCGGAATTGGAGGAAAACAATCACTTCTCAAAAGAGAAACAAAATCTGTTTCACTTCAGTCTATTTCGTTGCTTTCGCACCCATGGCTGTAAGTGCCGCGAAGGCCTCCTCAAGGGTCTCCCAGCTCCACTCTATCGTGCACTCTGCCACCCGCAAGAAACACTTCCGCGATTCATCTTTGATACTTTCACCGACTCTTTCCATCGAAACTGGGGTCGAACGACATGCATCGATCAGTTCTTGGCGATTCTTGGCAATTCTTGGCAATTCTTGGCGCCTTTTTTTGTTTTGTTTTGGTTGCTTTTTGTTTTTCCTTTCTTTCTGCTTTTCCAGCTGTCCCTCCTCGCGACGCACCCTTTGTGTAATTTAGTCAACAAAGACTAAAGCATCGACTTTGACGGTGATGGTGGCAAGGACGGGAGGTACTGACCAGTTGTTTCACCTTTTTTTCTTCCTCGTGTTTTGGACAGGCCCCGAATCCAGCTCCAGCAACGTTCAAGTAATGAATTTGATTGCCCTACTCATCACACTGGAGTTGTCTTTGTCTTGGTTTGACTGACTTTGCTTTTATTGCATTTGGACAGTGAACAGCTGCGCGCGTTGGCCGCATGTCTTGGCGTCTCAGTCGATTTGGCGCCAATTTCACAACTCGCCGCCCAGCCTGCCCAACGCGCCAAGCTCAAGCAGCTTTTGGATGGTCAACAAGCGGGCACTGTTGCTTCAACTGTCGAGCAGAAAACCGATGCCGCAGCTGCACTCCTGGAGTTGGAATTACCTCTCAGCTGTGCCAAGCTGGTGGTCCGCAATTGGTTGGGAGCTGACTTGCTTGAGGTGCTGAACGTCGAGCTTGATTCCAAGCTAGTTACCGACCAGCTAGTCGAACAGCTGCGACTGCAGCTTGCTGCAACGAACATCGCTGGTATGTGGTGTGTGTGTGTGTGTGTGTGTGTGTGTGTGTGTGTGTGTGTGTGTGTGTGTGTGTGTGTGTGTGTGTGTGTGTGTGTGTGTGTGTGTGTGTGTGTGTGTGTCTGTGTCTGTGTTTTCGCTCACGATTGGTCGTGTGGATTTGTGACGCATGCAGTCCCTTCTGATCCCACAGCACTGATTGCGACGGCAGATGTGCTTCAAAAGGCACTTGAGTCAACATTCCCGAACTTGGCTCCGCGACCTGATCAGGCGATTGTAAGTTGGATGGCGTGTGTGTCCTGTGAACGCATGAGTTTTACTCACAGCGTTGGAATTGGTAGAGGAGTGCCATGCAAGCACACAACTACACCCTCCAGGATCGCGAGAGCACACTGGCATCCCTCCGTCGGCTGGTGACAACATTTCGTCTGCGTGTGCATCAGCGTGCCGACGACCGAACAATCTATCCTGTTGCGCTCGCCGCGGCACTGCCTGGCTGTGGCAAGACTAGGATGTGTTTGGAGACGCTGCAAACTGTTGTGGCCCCAGCATGCCGCTCCATGACCCAACGGATTGGGCATGAAACGGTCTGTCTACCCGAGGTGCCGTACTTGTGCCTCTTTTTGACCTTCAATGGCAGTTTTGGCACGGGCTGGAACCCAACAACCGAGGCAGAAACGCCACCCGGAACATGCCATCGCCAAGCGGCTTTTGGGCAGCTACTTTGCAACCCCTGAGTTGGACACCGTGGCCAACATTTCTGTCAAGGCCGCGATGGATCTGATCCGCCGAACGGAAGCAACGAAACGCACCATTGATCCTGCCAAGCTTCACATCTTTATTGCGATTGACGAGGCCACTCGTCTTCTCAATGCGCGCGTTGATCCCAAGTACGAGTTGGCGGATTGCCAGAGCTTGCGAGCTGTCACGGGCGACAAAAAGCCTGCAGCGGACATGCAACTTGCACGACGATTCTGGGCTCAAGCTCTGGGTCCGCTGCAGGGTATTTGCCGGACTTTCTGGACCCCAACGTGGATGATGGTTGCTGGGACCAAGTCGGAGCAGCTGAGCAGTGCGATTTCTCGTGTACTCGGTATTGGCTCCTCCATCCCCGTTGCGCCGGTTGATGTTGCCCCCCTGTCTGGGTCAGCCACGGCCGGCTTGCTCGAAGAGCTCGAGCAGAACGCGCTCGCGGAAGGGAAAATTGTGTCTCCCCACTGGCGGTTTGACGGACAATTGATGCGCAAGATTCAAAATGTGGCTGGTTTGCCCAGATCTGTCATTGCACTGGCCTCTGAAACAGCTGACACTCTCGGAAAAACCGAGATCACCAACCAGCTGTTCCTCAAGCTCATGTCACTCTGCGATGGTGCGTCTGACATTGCTGGCATTGTTGCGGACGAGTTGGTGGCGCTTGGCTTGCTCTTCAGGTCACGCGACAACCAGCTACTTTTGTTTCCACGAGTGGACTTGATTAGTTTGATCGCCCACGGTACGCGGTCGTCGGGGTTTGTTCGCTGTTTCACAAGATTTCCTGCATTCGTCTCACAGCCTTTGTGTTTATTTGTTTCAGACGGCCTGAACGGTCCTTGGGTCGACGCGACCAACGAATTACTCAAGACGCTCAAAAGTTTTGAGTCAATCGCCACGACTGGCCAGTGGCAAGGCTGGGAGCCGTTCTGTGTCACGATCTTGAATCTGCGCATCTTGCTGGCGGTCGCGTTGACTCTCAAAAGGGATCCCGATGCTCGGTGGGTGTCGATCCGAGCTGCTCTTCCTGGAACCGTCCCTGGCCCTTCTCCCCTCGACTTGTTCGTCAACGCGCAAGTTTGGCGCCGCAGCCGTTTCGCGGAAACTAACGGAAAATCGACGCCAGCTCCGGCCGAAGGCCGCATCACCCTCTGCCCTGAAAACCGCCAAGGTGTTGACGGCTGGGCCATTGTCCATGAGAAGATCGATGTACGCCATTCGCATTCTTGGCTGTGAAGGATGCGTGAGGGCTTTGACTCATTTGGTGGGTGACACTTTAGAGAAAATATCTGCCAGTCACTTTGGCCCTGCAGTGCAAGCTGCATCAAGTCGAGTCGACCTCGTCGCATACAGACCAGAATCTCTACCTGCAAAAGGCAAGAGCCGCACTGCCGGACGATCAACAGCAGTCAGCGGTCGTGGCGTTGCTGACAACGTCGCGCATGGCCAGGCTCAGCTCAAACAAGCTCGATCCACGATCGTTTGTGTTGGACCGAGCCGGGATGAAAGAGTTCACTTCCGGCTTTAACGCTATTGCTGACAGTAAGTGGCTTTGGGCGCGATATCGCTTTGTTTCGTTGCCTGTGACTCACTGGCTTGCGAACTTTAGTCTTTTGGAGCTACAACCCGCACCTCAGCAGTGTCGCTCGCATGGCGACTGAGTTCTACGCGGACACAACAACCTTGGAGCAGGCCCGCAGCATGGCTAAGGTCGTTTTCCATAGTCGAAAATCGTCGATCCAGTTTGAGCGTGTGAGCGACTTGCGCCAGTTCTTGAAGGCGAGCGCCGGCAAGCCGATCAAGGTGACGTGGACCGAAACCGTGGATGGCAAGACGACCACTATCACAGAGACAGTGGAGTACCCGCTCGCAGCCGTTCCAAGCGACAAAGTGCTCCAGTGGCCTTATGCTCTTGAGCCTGCGAGCGAGAACGTCGGTGGTCAATCTTCCGCTGACACAACTCGCGGAAGGAAGAGTCAAACTCACCGCGCTCGCTGAGATCGACGACCAAGCAAGCTGCCAAATCGCGAAATCGCAATTTTGAAGCCATCAGCAGGAGGTCTGATCCTTCGCATCTCTTCAGCTTTTGTGTAACCGTGTTGTTGTTGTTGTTGTTGTTGTTGTTGTTGTTGTTGTTGTTGTTGATTTGGAAAAAAAAAACACAAATGATCAGCCGAGCTGACGGTGGAAAGGATCAGGCATACTAGATCTACGACTGCATTTGGTGCATGATATTGTATTGCCCTCAGATCCAGTCTTAGAATTGCCATCCAACAATGTCGTTTGCTGCAAAGTCCTTTCTCGCCGTGTCGACTGCAGCGACCGTTGGCATCATTTACTATGTGCACTCCAACCAGCAGTCCGATCGCGAGGTGAGCCACCAACCTCATCGTCATGATCATCACCATCAAAGTCAATAGAGCGAGAGTGTGAGAGTGTGGTTAACTCTTCTCAGGTGCCGTTGCATCTGCCCCAGCATCCAACATGTGCTCACTCGCTCACTCACTCACTCACTCACTCACTCTGCTTGGCTTGGCTTTTGTCAGCGCCTGCGAATGGGCATCGAGCGCGATCTCGAACGCCAGCAGCGCAAACTAGAAAACCGCCGCGAGCTGGACAGACAGGCCGCGCTCACAGTGCAGCTCGAGCAAGAGCAGCAGAACGAGAGGCGCACCATTACCACCACCACCACCCCGGTGTCCAAGTAGGGCATACATGCACACACACTCTGCGTGGTCACCGTCGTTCATAGTGTTGCCTCCAAGTTTGAACGGCAGGGCGAGAAGGCCTCGTCGTTCTACATCAATCAAACGTACATGCTCAGTCAGAGCAACCCTCCCCGCCGCTGCACATCCGGCAATGGATGGAACAGCGCGCTGGATGTTCTATGATGCACAGTATGATGCGCGATCGTCGTAACGCACGCGCATTTCTGCGAAAAGCAACGCCAACTGGACCATGATTCGTTCAGCAATCCCGACTCTGCTGTCAGGCGCCTCGCAGCTCTCAAAGGCGACGCACAACACACACAATGGTGTCAACAACAACAAGACCGGGTTGACATTCTGGTGTGCACTCGGTGCTAGCCGAGATTGAACGGGACGTCTTTTTGGTTTGGTTGCTTCTTTCCAATCTCTTCGTGTGCACCATGACTCGGTGCTGCTGTGCAAGTGTATGCGTTTGATCTGTATGAATGTTGATGCTTTCATCTCCATGACCAGTTCTTCGAGCCGGTATTCACAATGAACGGATGCTCTCGAAGCCTGTCTCGTTCTTTTGTTTTTTTCTCTCTTCGCCCTTGCTCGTTGGGTTGGTTTCACAAGGATTGCAGCTCGCGCCCCCCCCCCCGGGTCCTTGTCGTTGCCGTGCTCTCAAAATCCAGTCGTGTTTGTCTGCGCTTCTGACCACCTCAAACGCACCAATCCGAAGCACAATCACACCTTTTTCTTCCTTCACCGCTTTCGATCACATTTGTATTCATTCACTCATTCACTCATTCACTCAGTCATTCCCTCATCCTTTCACTCATCTTTTCACTCATCCTTGTTTCAAGTCCGTCACAAGTCACACCTTTTCCACACCTTCTTCGCGCCCCTCGTTCGTCGTTTTCCCACCTTCTCCTTCCGAGCCTCTCCTCAACTGCGAACAAGTCTCAAACAATAGCACCACTCCTCGCCACACAAAGCATCATCATGCCGCCATCGCCACCGCCGCCGCTCTTCGCTGCAGTCGAGTCGCATGTCGTTCGCTGGGACGCTCAGAAGTCGCCGCGCGAATTTCCACCCGGCTTTGTGACGCTCGCACTGCCGCAGCCCGCAGCCCCGTCCACCAGCACAAGCACAAGCACAGACCCAAGCTCAAGCGCAGGCACGTCCGCTGGCTCGGCGGGGTCGTTCTTGTCCGGGCTCGTCGATGCGCTCTTCTCCAAGCCGCCGCCGCCGCCGCCATCAGCACAGCCCGACGAGCCAAGTGCTGCCAGTGCTGCCAGAGCTCCTGCCCCTGCGCCAACCGAGTGCGCATTCCTGCCACTGTCGCCCGTTGACCAGTTTTGCGCCCAGTTTGACGGTATCGGCGTCGGGTGGGCATTTCGCGGGTCGCTCAGCCCGGCGGCGCTGCTCAAGTCGCTCGCCCGCACAGTCACAGAGCTCTACCCGCACCTCACCGGGCGCATTGTCAAGGCGCCGTCTGCACTCAACCAAGCGACGGGCCTGCGCTCGCGGATTGCCGTCAGATGCTCCAACGAGGGCTTTCCGTTCATTGTCGGGCAGCTCGCAAACGTCCCCGTCGACGCACTCTCGCTGGAAGACCCGCTCATGCGCGCATTCACAGTGGGAGCGATCGCCGTTCCCGAATTAAAGTTTTCGACGAGCGGCGCCATCCATCACCCGCTGATCAAGGTCCACGTATGCCGGCTGGTTGACAACCCCGACATTACCATCATCGGACTGTGCATCATTCATGCAGTCATGGACGGATCCGGCTTTTTCCGCTTCTTCAAGGACTGGAGTGATGTGCACCAAGATATGGCCGCCGCTGCGACTGCCATTCCGCGCTGCGTGTTTGAGACGAGCAAAATGATGGACGGAATCGCCTTGGACGAGCTGCAGCGCTTGCAGGACGACTTTGCCGACCTGCCCTCAGAGTCGCCCCGACGCACCATGCAGCAAGTGTCAGTGCTCAAGTTCCCCATCTTTGCAGCTCGCGCTTTGGCGTCTTCTTTGACGACAGGTGGTTTTGCCATCCACTTCACTGACGCCGAGATTGCAAACATGAAGCACGCTGCCAGCGCAGGCCTGTCCCCTGGCGAGTACGTGACGACAAACGACGTGCTTGCAGCGCACATGTGGCGCATCACGGCAAAACTCAGAGAGCTGCCCCTGCACTCGCCCGTTCACATGCACATGTTTATGAACATGCGGAATCGTAAAGCGAGCCTTCCTGATCTGTACGGCACCGCCGCCACACTACAAGCCAGCGTGACGATGGGCGTGGACGAGTTGAGCAACGAGCCCTTCCATCGCATTGTGCAGCATTTGCACGCCACCGTCCAATCCAACGGCGAAACACAGTTCAATGCGGATATTTCTTGGCTCCAGCGCCAGGCAGACGAGAACGACATGAGTCGAATGATGATTGGCGCCGATCTTCTCCGCAATGGCACCATTCTCACGCACTGGGCACATTTTCCAGTCTTTGGTGCCGATTTTGGGACTGGACACCCCTTCTTTTTGCTTCATGGCGCGCCTCCGCCGCTGCCCAACTTTATCTTGGTCTCTTCTGCCCCACCCGGGCTTGGTGGAGTGGTGGTGTACGGCACCTTGCCCAACTCGCAGGCTCGCGCGCTGATGCAAGAGCCGTGGAAGAGCTGGCTGCACAGCTTCCGTTCGCAGTCGTAGAGTTGCAGCTTGTTTTTGGGCTGTTGGTTTCGTTTGTTGCACAATCTTGCTGTACAAATTTGCAATTGCTTCAACATGTGCATCAAAACTGCCGATCAACAAAAAGCATATTTTAGGTTGCTTGATTCAACGCCGCGACTTGCTTGTCAAACGAAACTGCCGTGATTTTGTCGCCGGGGGTATAGAATGGATTGCACAGCATGTCTGCGTAAATATCGTGGAGTCTTCGGAAGAACTGCGAGTGGGTGAAAGTCGGGGGGTTAGTAAAATTTGCTTGACGTTAAGCGAAACAAAGATCAAAGCCTCACCGATCGCACGTCCATTTCTCGCAACGCAGGGTTTCCTTCTTCCCACACGGCGATTAGTTTGACGCGAGTGTTTGTAACGTAGCCATATCTGCAAAAAGCGTGACGAGCATCCAAAAAACAAATCTCAGAACACAAAGCCACCACAATTTCATTTCATCGGTTGGACGATCGCGCGCTGTTGTCGTGGTCTTACACTTTGTACTCTTCTGCAGGGTACAGCAGGCCGAGGTAGAGCTCGGATGCGACTTTCGTGATGGTCGTCACTATGATGCAAGATTGGAACCCAGAGTGAGTTGGTTGTCTGAGCGCAGATTGAGAACACCGACCATTTGACATCAAAGCCCTTTGACAAAGCGACCGTCGCGAATGGGGTTGGATGCACCAACCCATGGCACAATCTCATCTCATCTTGGTCTGCAGTGTGGCAGTGCCGGGTTTGCTGGGTGGCCAAAGCCAAAGCCAAAGCCAAAGCCAAAGCCAGAGCCAGAGCGATGACCTCTTCCAGTCGCGTTGCTTTCTTGTTACCTTTCTCCTCCACAACGTCAAGTGCAGTGTGCACAATGTAGTGGTACTTGAGATCCGAGTCCGAGCCTGGGACTGCTGCAGACGCTCCAGAGCCAGAGCCAGCAGCACCAGCAGCAGCAGCAGCAGCAGCAGCAGCAGTGGAAGCCGCTCCTGCGCCGTCCTGGGCGCGGTGGAAGGACTTGAGGAACAAAGGCTCGTTCTGCATGTGAATGTGAATGCGCATGTGTGAGTGAGTGGAAGCGGGACGGCGGGGGAGGGGGGGGGAAATGGTCAGTCGGACTGGTCGGTCAATCTCAATGTGAGGATTTGAGCAGTTCTTACACTCTTGCCGACGATCGCCAAACAACTGAACATGGTCGATATCAAGAAAAAGTAGGGGAGGAAGGACGACTGACAAGCAAGTTGATCACTATGAACATTCAAAGTGAAATGAAATATCGAGACATTGTTCACACAACGAAGCGCAAACATCGGACGCGCGACAGCTTCACTCGCGTGTGCGCAACAGGAAAAGACACCAGTGCACCTCAAGTCATCGGCCGGCGAACACGTAAAACCGATTGCAGCTCCCGCACCATGCGATTCAATTCCTCTTGCTCTTGCGCCTGCCGAGCCTGTAATTTGTGGGAAGGGAGGTTGGTACATACACACACAGCCACGTGCGTGAGTTCAATCCGGCGTGGCTACATGAAGTACCAGTTCCACATACCTGCTCGGCGAGCTGCGCTTGTCTGTGTGCGGCTCGAGCGGCCCGGACTGCCTGCCACTGCTCGCGAGTCATTTCGACCTCCCCTTCCGCATCGCCATCGTTCGCATAATGCAGGGTAGCCTCGTAGACACGATCTAATGACGAGTCGGGGTCGTCTGAAGGCAATGGTGGCTGGTCACAGTCGGGTAACAAGTCGACGACTAGGCAGCATCATTCAATCAGTCAAAACGCGCGATGCTGTTGAAACGCGACCACAGCAAAGTGACAAAACGAGACCCTACCCGCTCGAGATGCTGGTTTATCGGACCCTGTAGCAGTCCCGTCAGCCGCAGTAGCATCATCCTCTGGAGGTTGGAGGGATTGACGGGTGCGCGCCATGCTGTCGCTCACAACTTTGACGTCGTGTTCCAAAGACGCGACACTATCAAGGAGTGTTTTGCAAATTTCGGCAGAGTCTGAAAGAAAGCGAAGGAACGCACGCAACAATGGCAAGAAAATGAGTACAAGAACTGGCAAGTCGAAAGTTCACTTCACTCACCTTTCCCAGACGCCGATTCTTCCAACAGCGCGCATCGGGTTGCCAAACACTCTGCTGCAATCATAATTCGCCGCAGATCGTCCAGGACCGACGAAGACTCGGGCGGTGGCGGATTCGGAGATGTCGCGATTGGAGCTGGCGTTTGATTGCAAAAAAAAAAAAAAACGTAAAAGGCCCGGAGCGTCGATACAAGCCATACGTCGAATGAAAAGAAATAACACGTCAGTCGTCAGACATGCATTGCAGATGCCAGTACCACAATATGACACCCACCGGGATCGAAAACTCGCTGGAGAGCGTCGGCAAACGCATCCATTTCCGGAACCAGATCAGCTAGAATTCTTGGTAATACACAGGGAAATATTCGACGAAACTGCAACCGTTGCTCTTCTGAAACGAGCCGAGGCACAGCGACACCAAGACTCTGTATTGAGGTGGTGTCGCGAACGCTTCCGATCAGAGCCAACATGGCAGTGCGACGCATCAGCTGAGACCGATGCTCGAGAAACACGTGTAACAAGGTCGTGATGGCGTCAAGAGAAGTCAAATCAGCGGCACTCTTCGGTGCGGATGGCGACGGGCGGAAGAGATAGGCTTGCGGCGGGTCTAAGAGTTCCGGCAGAGAAAATGACTGAAGAGAGTCAGCTCCCGCCAAAGAGAGATGTTGAATGCAAGTCTGCATTGTGGTTGAAAGCACAATTCGAAGCGACGCTCCAAAGCGCACCGACTCGCTGGAAGCGACAATTTGCAAGGCAGGCGGGAGCTCCGCCGCCACGGACGCAAAGTACCCTCGCTGCACAATCCCAAGCTCGCGCACGCGCCGAATGCCACGGACAAGTCTATAGGCGTGCGCACATGAGGGTTAGCCAAAGCCGCGGGCAGGCATTCTCAGCACGAAACCACACAACATGGCAATGGTTTAACGCTCTACCTTGTGTGAAGTAGTGATGTCGACTGGACAAAGCGAGATGTGAGACTGCAGTTGGCAGCGAGTTGTGCACGAACGGAATGGACTTGCGAGGCTTGAACAGACAGGGTGTGGAAGCGATACGACGCAAGCCCAGTCCATGTTGCCAAGCCCATCGCGCCTATGGCGGAGCTGCGAAATCCAAGTGCCGTCCGACAGAGCGTGCTGGCAAGGCACGATGCGACTGCTGCTCCAATCACTGTATGAAGCCGCAGTCGTCGCTGAGCTGTAGCAACCCGGTCAGTGATCCAATCGAGCTGTTCGTCGACTGCTTGCTGGATCTAAGCGTCCACCAAACCAAGCAAGAATCACAGATAGAGCCAGATGCACAGATAGAGCCAGATGCACCAGATAGCGCAAAGCGTATCGAGCTTGGTGGCGACCCAATTTCCAAAATTTGCAATACCTGAGAAACGCCGTTGTTCGGGTGCGCAAGGGCTCGCATGACATGGTCGCCGCCAACACGCACAATCCAGTCGCAGTCAGTCTCAGATAGGACACCTCGGCGACCCAGAGGAGCGATTGCAGCAACGAGTGCGTCGGCCTCGGCAATCTCCAAAGCTGCAGCAATTTCGCAGTTTGCTCGACCGAGCGCCCACTGTTTCAGCCTATCACATACAGAGTTACACACAACATCGAAATGTTGATGACAATATGCAGAGAATGCTGTCAGAGGGTGAAGAGCGCAGTCGGTCGGCCGTCGAGTCGACTCACCCTGGAGCCCAGGCCCACACCCACGCCCAAGCAGGCCGGCTGTCCGACTGTGCAGTGCTGCCACTCGTGTCACTGTCTGCCTCGGCGAGGGCGCTGGCAAGGCTTGGCGGCGGTCCCGGAAGCACGAGCAGGTCGTCTGTGCTGTACCCGATGGAGCTGTCAAACCCAAACAAAGGGGGGGGGGGACGGATCAACCATGAGAACAACACGGATACAAGTACAATAGTATGAACAAACCAACGATAGAGAGAGCGATCGAAGCGAGGGCTGCGCTTACCACAAGTACTGGTGCAGAGGCGAGCCGTCCGCCAACCCGCTCTCAGCCATGCAGCTCAGACTCCTCAGCGGAAAATAAATAAACAATAAAACACGACTGACTGAGTAGATCAAACACCATTCTAATCTACCGCGTCATGTTGTGCAACGACTGCAGTGCATTGAAACTCGACGTTTGGATCAAAAAAAGTGTCGTTGAGCTTCGCACCAGCAAACCCATCAGTTTCTCACAACATAAACGCGACGTACACTCGGTGTGCAAGGTTGGAACTTTCTCACAACATAAACTCGTCCTACATTCAGTGCGCGATTCGAATTTAACACAAGCAAGGAAATTGTCCCCACCAAGCGATAAAACCAAAACAAAAACGCAGCGCACACATTGTAGAACGGGTGAGGCAACGATACAACACTCTAGTGTGGCTTGGGAACGTGCCCGTCCACGTAAAAGTTGCGCGTGGCCTTTGGAAGAGTCAGGACCATGCCTTCCATTTCCTTTGTGAGCGTAATCTGACACCCAAGCCGAGAGTTTGCCGTGAGAAATGGCGCCATGTCCAGCATATCCTGTTTCAAGTAAACGGTCCGATGACGTGAGAGGGGTGTTTGAACGACGAGCTCAAGGGCGCGCAACAACACAGCCAAAAAAAAAAAAAAAAAACCACAACAACAGAGAGCGTTTCCTCCTGCTCCTTACATCTTCTTCCTCGCTGGACTCGGGGAGTTTTGGAAAGCTCGTGTCATCAACAATGACGTGGCACGTTGAGCATGCAACTGATGCTTCGCACGCACCTTCGAGTGCAATATTGTGACGATGTGCTAGATACATGACGTTGTCGCCAACCTTTCCCGCAATGTTACGCCTTGTCCCGTCTCGTTCCACATACACGATATTGACGCTGAGTGTACAGCAACAATCAAACACCGGCCCAGGATTTAGCTTTCAATGCAAGACGCTCCAACATGAGCAAACATGAGCACAAGCGCGAGGGTTTTTTTTTTTTTTTTTTTTTTTTTTACATTTGGTCGGGTGATGTTGGATCTTTGTACTCATAGTCTCCGTGAAATGCGATGCCTGTGATTCTCGACCAGATGCAATGAGTCAAAGGTGAGCTCAGACGCGATTCTGAGCAGCTGAACATGAGATCGTACCTGAGCTCGAGTGAAACTGCCTGGAGACAGCGCGCGTCGTGAATCCCAGCAGTAATTGCCCAGCAGAAGCAGCGTCCGATCCAGAGCGGAGGGAGTGCAGTTGCAGTGATGACAATGAGGATGGCAGCGAGGACGCGAGCAGTGAGCGAGTGAGACCCCGACCGCCATTGGACGAGTGAAGCAGGCGCACTTGGCTGGTGAGCAGGGCTGCTGCCGGCGATGGCGATGGCGATGGCGATGGTGATAGTGTTGGTGGTTGAGCGAGGCAGCCGACAGCCACAGTGACGGCGCATGGCGTGCTGGCTTGGCGAGTGACTGACTGAGGGACAGCCGCCGCCGACCGCGACATGCGGATCAGTGTGCAGCATGACAAGAGTGATGATGATGATGAAGATGATGATGATGATGGTGATGGTGATGATGCCGATGACGAGAATGGCGATGATGGCGAGGACTGAGGCAGACGCCGCAAAGACTGGCGCAACGGCAATGACCAGCAACTCTGGCGAACGAGCAGTCCGACGAGTCCAGTTCCCAGCGACCTCATCGTGCGCGTAAGAGTGTGAGAGAGAAGGAGAGCGAGAGAGCGAGCTCGGGGAGGGCGGGGGGTTTGAGTGGCTGCTGCTTTACTGCTGCGAATCAAGCAAGCAAGCAGTTTGGACTGAGCTGCTCAGAAGTCAGCCTGAACAAGGAGAAAATTCCGAGCTATCCAACACAATCGTACAGCATGTCAAACCAGCAAGCACGAGGTGGGAGACTGAGATGGTTGGTCTTAGATCGGCAGACAAGGTGCGCCATGATGATGATGATGAACTTGGCGTGCATTTCGCAGATTTTCCGAGTTTGATTTGGTTTCATTTCACGCTTCTCCAGTCTTCATGTAGTGAGAACAGTGGGGGCGGATAGTGGTGATGATGATGGAGTCTCCATCGATGGCTCATCAATGCCATCGCTCTCTTCTCTTTTGTGGTTTGTTCCAATGCAGCGTCTTCATCCTCGTCGCTGTGCTGACGATCGCCGACTCGGCCTTCGCAGGCACCTGGAATTCAACCGCCTGCAAGTACACCACCACGTACGTCTCCTCCTTGTCCGCTCTTCCGCAGTCGCACGCATTCGGGCATCGTGTGACTGGCACTGATTTTTTTTTTTTTTTGTTTGTTTGTTTGCTTGTCGTCTGCGATTTTCTCATCCGTTTTGTCGTTGCCATGCTTCGCTCCTCTCCTCGCGATTCGCGCGCTCTCCTCGAATTAGTGCTGGTTCGTCCTTCACCGTCTCCAAATTCCGCCGCTCGCAGCCTTGGTCGATTCCCGGGGTGAGCTCGACTGGTGGCCCTGACGGCTACAACTACCTCTATAACTTCTGCCCTGGGCTCGGCAAAAACATTGGCTCCTGTGTTGCCACCGATCTTGTAAGCATTCAACGTTCGTGTTTTCCGCCCGCAGCGACTCCGAGAGCACGCAGGAACCGCACACAAGCCAAGAACGACGAAATGAGAAGAGAACCGCAGAGTTGTGGTTTGTTCGTTTGCGTGAATGCTGTCTGTCGGCTCGCAATGTGGCTGCTTTCCCGGGGGTGATGGGCTGGTGATGGTGGCTTGTTCAGAGTTTCCATCAGTCCTCCTCTAAACCGCCCTCGCGAAGGAGGTCTTGACTGGCTGCAATCGCCGATGCCTGATTCCTGTTGCCCGCGACTGAGCTGCCCCGCCATGCTGGTTGCCACGCCTCTCTCCTCGCCAATCTCCCAACAATCGTCCATTCGCTTCTGCTGCGCTGCAGTTTCATCTCGAAAACAGATCATTCTAAAATGCCATCATTGATGGCTTTCATGGATGCAAAAGCGCTCACCTTCATTTTTGGTTGACGGGTTTTTGTTTTTATTCCAACAGGTCTGCCAGCAGTCTACTACTGGTGGCTCCACCTATGTTATCGGCACCAACTTCATGAGCACAACCGATGGCCACAACACCAACACTGTATGCGACGTCTATTGCAGGAGAAGGGTCTGGTCATTGAAGAGTTGTTTCTAAACGTTGATTGCGTCTCAGGTCGAGTTCAAGTCCACTGACGCTTCTCCCCGATGCACTCGTGTTATTTTCAACTGTGACCCCAATACCAAGGGCGAGCCTGTGACCGCTGCCACCGAGCAAAAGCCTGCTGGTATGTCGAGGTCGATTTGTCGTTTGTGTCGTTTGCCTGCTCGCACGTCAACTCATGCTTCTCGATTGGCGTGATCCGCTCGTCATTTCGTACAGATCTTGGCTGTCTTGCAACCTACACGATGGCGTTCACCCACGCTTGCTTCTGCCCCGGGTCGACCTGCGACTACAACCCAGATCGCGCCGACTCGATCGCCTCAGTCACTTCAGTAGCCGCGGTCGCATCGATGCAATCTGCCTCGGCTGCCTCCTTTGCCTCAATTGCCTCAACCAGATCTGCATCAGTCGCTTCAATTGTCTCAATCACTTCGGCGCTCTCGGCTTCTGTTGCATCGACCGCATCGGCATCTGCTGCGTCCGTTGCATCTTCCATTGCACAACTCAGCGGCGGCACGCAAGATTCGTCTCCAACAGCTGCCATCGCTGCTGCTGTTGTGAGTGTTACTGTCATTGCGCTACTTGCACTGATATTCATCGTGATGCGACGTCGTCGATCGCAACGTTCGGTTATGCGACCAAAGGACTCTGCCGGTCCCATCCACCAGGAGGCTGTTGAAATGTCAGTCTCCCCGCATACCGAATCCACTCCACCTCACAACGACGCCGGTTCAGCGTCTGCCATGGCCGGCCAAAAGCAGCCAAAACCAAAGAACTCTGCCGGTCCCATCTATCAGGAGGCGGATGAAGTGATCGTCTCTTATCGGAACCATTCGACTGGATCTCACAACGAGGATGACGGCTCAGCTTCCGCTGGGGTCGGTCAAAAGCAGCCGCAGTCTTCGCACCAAGCGATTTCCATGCCCTCTTCAGTGGTGGTCTACGACGATATCGGCGTGTATGTTGCCGGCAGCAATTCTCGTCGCGTTCGTGAAGGCTTGGCCGTTTTGAAGCGCCTTGCCAGTGGTAACTTTGGCGACGTCTCACTGGGTCAGGTGCTGTTTACCGCTCTGCCCCCACGAGCCCAAACCTTGCTCGGACCTACAGCGTCTCCAACCGTGCTGGTTGCAGTCAAGTCTCTGAAGTCTGATGCGGACGAGAAATCCCGCAAGGACTTTGAAGGCGAGGCGAAGTTGATGGCCCCGTTCGTGCATCCGAATGTCGTGCGCCTACTTGCGGCTCTTTTCGAATCCGAGCCCCATCTCGTTCTGCTTGAGTTTGTGCAATATGGCGATTTGCGCACTCTCCTACAAAAGTCCCAGGCCCAATCGCTTTGGTGGACGCACAGCGAGCAGGTGCATGCCATTCGCCAGATTGCACTCGGCATGGAGTATCTGGGCACGCTGCACTTTGTGCACCGAGATCTTGCCGCGCGCAACTGCCTTGTGGGGCAAGGAATGGTGGTCAAGATTGCCGACTTTGGACTTTCTCGCGAGCTGGCCGACGAGCACGATTACTATCGCATGCAAACACGAGGCAAACTTCCTTTGAAGGTGGGTGAATGGCTGTGTTGGAAGGGTTGCGAGTTTGATACAGTACATGTATTCATTCCGTTGGTCCCCCTTGTAGTGGATGGCGCCGGAGACAATGACTTTCCGAAAGTTCTCGTCCATGTCTGATGTGTGGTCGTTTGGTGTGACGGCATGTAAGTCGAAGGCTCTATCGCAATGGTGCAGGCCAACACATTGTTCTCACATCTGTGGTGATGTTTGCTTGCAGGGGAATGCTGCAGTTACGGCGCAGTGCCGTACGGCAAAATGGATGGCCCGTGAAGCGCTGGCTCATCTGGAGACTGGTGGTCGGCTCCCCATGCCAGAGAACTGCTCAGCTGATCTATTTAGCTTGATGCTCAGTTGCTGGAGCACGATCCCGGAACTGAGACCAAGTTTTCCCCAGCTCGTCAAAGCTTTGAAAACCTTCGAGGATGGTTTGATCATCCGCGAGATTGGTGCAATGCTGTAACTTGTCTCTTGGTGCAATCGTTGTGAGGCTCCTAGCGACTCTGTTGCATTCTTTGTTTGGTTTTGTGCTCGTCCATTCGAAATTCAACGAAAGGAAAGCACAAAAAGGTGCTTGCTCGGACTGTTGCGCCGACAAAAACACAACAAAAAACGTACTTGTGGTTGCTAGAATTTCGACGCAGAGCGTTCTCCGGTTGATACGGCCAGCTCACGCGTTTGTGTGATTCAGATGAAGTTGGGTAGTCCACAGCTCAATCGCAACAAGGAGGCGTCGTTGAATGAGTAACGATGTGAACCTCAAGTTCAGACGTGAATGACTTGTTCTTCCCCATGCCGATCTACAAGTGCCCGGCTGAGCGCGGTGGACGGACGGATCAATGAATCTACATTGCTGACTTCCATTCGCTACAACAACCCCCGTTGCTTTCGATTCGATGGAAACTACAATTATTCCATCTTCCTAAAGCGTCGCGTCTCGGCTCAGTCTCTATCCTGTTTGTGATGTCGTCCAAACCGAACTCACAAATGGATCTACCCGCATCAGCCGCCGATCCGAAGCCGAACGCGCGTACCGCGTCCGCAGCTTCCTTCGACGATGTTGACGCTAGCCAGTCGACGAAACGAGCCAGAGCGAACGTAAGCGGCTTGCTGTTGATGTTCCAAATTTAGTCAGATTTTGTGTCTCGGCAGTTCCCGCCCGTGGCTTTTTGCCTGCCTTTGTTGACGCCCGTTCTGCTCTCTAACGCGATTGCGTGAATGTGTACTTGAGATTTTCCACCGCAGTCATGTTGTGCGTTGACAGCCTGTGACGATGGCAAAGTGTTGCCCACTTTCGCGCCCGAATTCTAAACTTTGCCGTTTGGTTAATAGAATCAACAAGTTGTCGACAACGCATCCCACGGCGCTTCACAGCAGCTGACTGCAATGAAGAATGCACAGCGTTCCCTGACGGCCGTGACGCAAGGGCAAGCAAATGTCGCAATGCCAAACTCAGGTAAGAACTGACTTTCTGTGTGTGTGTGTGTGTGTGTGTGTGTGTGTGTGTGTCATTTGCACTGATTATTGAGCGGTATGGCTTTTTTTTGTGTACCTTCTCCAGGGCTCAACCAAGCAGCGCAAAGCAATGAAGAAAAAACCGAGCGGACCCTTCAGCAAAAACTGGAACAAGCGTGGGCTAAAGCACCTGGTGCGTTGTTTTGAAAGTTCTACCATTGAGGCATTTTGCGCGTGCTTTCCTAATGCGGGTGTTTTTGTTCTTCTCCAACCTTTAGATCTACTATCCCGATCATTAAATTTCGACCCCCCCTCTTTTTTTCACTTTTTCGCCCTCCCTGGGACCTGTGTTGCTTTCCGTCTCGCCCGCGGAATGTTCATTCATGGTACGGTGTACCAGACACATTTTAGAAGTGAAGCAGCGGGCTGGGAGTTAAGATTCGAAGCGAGAACAGACAAAAATGAAACTCAAAAAAACAGAAAAAGAGCGGATTTTTTGCCCAATTTTCACAAAGCATTACATG